ATGTTAAAATCTGAAGAACAAAATGAAGTGAGGTTGAACTTTGTCATCCCCAAGCTGATTTAGACGAATTAGTTGGATGGGCTCACGATTGGGGCTTTAAAGTTAATTCCAGGAAGAGCCTGCTCATGCACATCGAGCACGGCAATAATTACCATTATACCATTAATGGTACATCTATTCCACGCGTTCAGGAACATAGAGACTTAAGAGTAACTATAAGTCACGACTTGAAAACTATTACGCACTGTAACGCGGCTGCTTCCAAAGGTTATCATGCGCTATGGTCACTTCACTGAGCATTTAAATGCTTTGACGAGATGTTTCGAATTTTATATCCCACCTATGTAAGGCCACGCTTAGAATACTGTATCCAAGCAGCTAGCCCATATCTGATAAAGGATACTAAATCACTTGAGCGTGTCCAGCGTGTGTGTACAAAATTAGTGAAGGGTCTTTCTAAACTCTCTTACGATGAGCGTTTGAAACGTCTAAACATTTTCCCCTTATCTTATCGTAGGACACGAGGTGACCTTATACTGGCATTTCGTATCTTTAATTATGATTTGGGTGTTAATATGTCTTATCTTTTTGCTCCCTCCAGCACTGATACTCTCCGAGGTCATAGCAAGAAGGTTCATAAACCGCGATCTAATAAACTAAAGGTGGGGTCCCGTTTTCTCATCGAGTGGCCAGTGACTAGAACGCATTACCCGAACAAGTGGTATCAGCCCCATCAGTGAAAATTTTCAAGGAGAAGCTGGACCTTCACTGGGAGGCAATCTGTCAGGATTAACACAGGTTCATCAACCTACTATCCTTATTACTGAAAACTGAAGACTGAAACACTCTGGCGCGGAGTACCAATATTCTGACTTTGGATCTGTAAACCGTTCGTTGTTAATGTTACTTCAGGAAGATGAGTCACTATAAAAGTTTCATGGAATCCGTGATGCAGAAAATTGAGGATTATATGAAGAATAGTTCTCGTCAAATGGTTTACCCATGGACAGTTACTGCCAAGATTCGCCAGTTTCCATTTGTTGATGTTTATAAAAACAGGCCATTTTTGAAGTTCTACATTGTCGGCCTTTTTATTTGCACCCCACCTGTTATTTATCTTTTACATAAAGGGCACGAAATGAAGAAAACCAAGAAGCATGTTAACTACTTTGACCCCTATGACATACCCGGCAAAGAGCTTGCATCTCATTATCATCATCTTTACCATCATGAGGAACATTAGTTTGTAAATTAGTACTGTTTAGTTTTAAACATCACTTATAAATGGAATAAAAACCTAGTGCCACCTATTATTTTCTTGCTATACTTGCCCGCTCATTGTTCTAAAATGCGAATCTAATCCGGATTAGTTATTATTTTATGAGCGACAAAAGTAAGGTGAAAAAAGAATGTTTGGTCGGTATTCACAAATTACTCGCATATAGGCCTAGTCAAGTACAAATGAATGTTCACTATATATTGGAGGAATTGAGTTGATTGCGTCATTCATGCTTCTACTCAAGGTAGGTATGATCATTATCTTGATAATGCTACATTCATTGGACATGCGGTCTAGCTTTTTAAAACATGGAGGCACAAAGTTTGTAGGATTTCTTTTCTGACTTAAAGAACTAGCCTGGGAATGTTTCGTAATCATGTATGCCTACAATTTCTCAACGAGTTCACATTCCCCCATCCCTTCTACTTGGCTCCGAATTCATGTCCGCCATATAAGGCCTAAATTCTTTAACTACGATTACACTTTAGGTTTTCTGGAGCTATAAAAAAGTAACTTGACAACTTTTACTCTTCCGTAATGTCTACCTACTCGTGAAATTACTGAAATTTGAGTAATACCTTTCTCAGTAGTCTGAATATTTGCTCTCTGTGTTCGGACCATTTAGAACAGATATAAATAAGACGGATAACTGTATTTTTGCGATCTGTCCCTTAAAAGCTTTATTACCTCCAGATATCAAACTGGACATCGAGCTGTTTGTGTGGTGTATCATCATGTAAATGTAACTCATTGGCTTAACGAATTATAAGCGAACTTTCGAAGTAGACTCACATAACCAACTTCGATTTCTAAGATTACAGTTGTCATAGTAAGTAAATACATTTATAAATTCATATACGCTTTAAAATGTAGTAATAGGTTACTACTACAAACATAAAACCATAGCACCCATGTATGAGCTGTTTGCCACCAATTGGTAACTCTGGTGAGTTGGATGTGGCTTAGTAACAGTAAGTTAAACTCTGTTCTCATCAGATAAGTTGTTCATATGGCGATTGAATCAGAAGTAATATTCTTTGTAGTATAGGGTTTTATGTCTGTAAAGATGTCTTTATGAAGTCAGGTTTTTACATGTACTATGGTGTACCATAGTAGGGGTTTAGGTTACTCGTAGTTTTATTAAAAAGTTTATTTGGTCACACACTTTGAACGGTGGACAAGTTTGACTCACGAATTCCATCTGTGCACAAACAAACGAGAGTCAGCGCTGAATATCTTGGAAGATTATTCTCATGACTATTGGTCTTTGGCCAAAACAACTACGTATTAGACCGTAGATCTCGTTAATCTTCATACTCTAGAAAGCCTAATGTAATTGAAACCTAAAATCTGTGGGAAAGAAAAAAAACGAAAATAATATTTGGTTTGTCCTAAAATCTGTAACACTCCCAGGAATCGATGATGACGAAAGTGAGTCATGCATGTTTTGTTAGATTTACTGCTTATTGTGAAGTTTATTTTGGAATACAGTAAAGGAACCTACAAATTCTGACATGTCTTTCATCCTAGTTGGCTGCCGATTCCTAAGATTGACGTTTGTTGATATTATCATCTAGGACGGATGAACAGTCGGGGCAGTGCGTAACCTAAATGTTGTGTAATACTTCATAATAGTCTAAGTTTATTCATAATGATTCAAAGTATCGTTTATTTAAAAAATGGGTGAAACAGTTTTCGTAATAAGTTCTACGTAGGTTAAGAAGTTTTCAGTACTAGGAATATTAATGTGATCTGTAAAACAGAGTGACTACGAGACTCAGGATATATGACACAACATTTAGCGTTACTTCAAAATGTATCTTCAATCTCATAATAATAGCAGGAACTGAAAAAGCCGGTTAACAAGCAATGTCTTATGGCTATCTTTACAAACTGCTCACTGGACAGAAATGTTAGCAAATATCAAATGGGGATTCGGTCCAATGTTAGGTATGTAATATATGTAATAGAAGACAACCTGGAAAATCACAACTGTGGCCCATAAAAATATAACTGGTTGGAGTTTCCATGTTGTTCTTAGTATGGCAGAATGTAAATCATGCTTGTAGGAATTATCTTTTGTAAACGGTCGAAAAAAGTCAATAGCGTAGATGTTTCCTCAATTTCGAGTCTCGTTTTTCCCAATCAGTGTCTACGTCACAAAATGGAGTTTTGTGTGATTAATAACCAATAGGTCCCTTGCGTATACCTACTTCACTTATCGCAGTTCAGGCACTTGAATAGTATCAATAGCGCTCAAAAACTGTGACTTGAAGCATACAGCACGAACATGTACTTAGCTACTGCTCATGATAAAATTGTATCAGTGAACCTAAAAATCATCGTTCTTTATATTTCTGGCTTGATACACTTGCTCTGGTAGTACTTAGATTTTCAAGACTGGCGATCAATCTCATTAGAAAACATTCATACCGCTGAAATTACTAGGCTGCATAACATCAGTCCTGGTTACTACATCGGCAAATACTAACTGTTAGTCTGCAAGTAACGTCGAGCCACAAAAGCTGATCTTAGTAGTCAGATAAGTGGTATGGACAAACTTTTCTGGAGTAAGGTTAAACAGCCATTAGGCTTCATTAACTGTGCTTGGTGTTAAAACGTATCAGGATGTAGTTTGTGTAGGATAATTGAGTATATGCAGTGTGCACTACCATAGTGTTTTGGGAGCCATATTAGTGTATTCATCAGTGGTTTAAAAACGGATACGTTTGTTGAAGAGTATGTTTGAGCAGCTATATGAACAGTAGAACTACAAGACATTGCATCAGTCCGTGAAATAAATGATTGTGCCATGTAGGTAGGTGCATGTTATTTGGATTGGGATCCACGCTGATATCGTTATGTAGTTGGGGACGTTGGATCCGAATCACTCCCGATGAGATAGATGCATGCACTCCTAATCTGCCCTTACGTTTGAGTCCCGAAATCTTAAGCTTTTTTTGTGTACTTTCTACTATGAGGTTTGTCTTGATAACCTGTGTTGTGGCAACTTGGATCGGTAGACACATTGCCCAAGTTCTATGTCGTTTGTGACTGATAAGTTGTCATACTAAAGTTCTTGTTTAATAGCATTGAGGGTTGCAGATATTTCAGATTCCGCATCAGACAGAACCATACTAGTTGATGGGACATAAGGATAAGAAAGCCAGTGGTGCTCCATTTATTTTCAACCATTACTTAGTAATAAGATGAACTTAGTTTGTGAATAGTATTTCAAACAATCAACCACATAAAGGTTAGGTGATGTATAAGTATCTTGAGTTTATCAACTACGTCAAATGAAGTGCTTTATTTCAATGATATTACATATCGAGGGCCCTGGAAAATAGCTTCCTATTCAGTACACTATAGGAAACTAAGTTCATGCACTAATACTTGTGATGACCATTCCTAAAACGATGTGAATAAAGCTGTTAAAAATGTAACTTATTGAAGGTTAAAAAAGAGAGGAATACTAGTTATTGGGATTAAATTATATCTTAGGTTCTGATTGTTCTATAGATACATAGTATTGACTGGGATTAAGCTTCCTCATAGCTAAATAATGAACTCGATACAGCTTCGTTATTAGCCCGAGAAATGACAAACATTAGGTACAGATTACTAAACTGCCAAAATAAGACTCAGAGTGTACTAAACTTATATGAGGTGATATCATTCTTGTACATGTATACCAGTTGTTGTAAAACCACATATTGGACGTACTTATGCTTTCCAATAGTTCTCCAAACTTACTCAGCTGGCGTTATCTTAGTTCCTGGTTATGATACTCTTCCTTTGGTGCTGTAATGTGAAGTACAGTATCATGGGTTGATACGAGATTACCCAAGCCTTACATTACGTATTTCTCTTTGGTAGACATAAGCGACATCAACTTCCGAACCCAACAATGGTTCATATCGTGGAACAGTTAGACATAATTGTTGCGGTTTTCACCAATAAACTGTCTAGATCAGCGAAGTATTGACTGGTTAACCAGAACTACTTTTCTGGCAGATGAAATAGATCAACTAGAAACAGTTGGATTTCTTATTATTTCGGTTAGGGGATAGGCGATGTTTTAGGGACATCATTATTAAATAAAATTATCCTGCTGTAAAACTACATGTGAGAATTGGTGGCTTGCTGAATTTGAAACTTGGTACGACTAGTTTAACAGGTATGTGAATTAGTTCGCAAGAAACAAATGATAAAGTTAATAAACGAAATAACAAATACTAGGTTTTGAAAATAGAACCAAACAAGATATTTTGGAGTAAACCTTTTTAAACATGCGGACATCAAAATCTCATATAAACAATTAGACTGAAAGGTGTATATAGAAGTATTATAATATTTAGTGTTCAGTATTGTCATTCACACGATTTGCAGAGTATAGCAGTTTTCACTTTATGAACACATGTTTTTGATACATAGCATAATTGTGAGAAAATAAAACATTGAAGAAACACATTATGGGTGAGTTTTGTTAACAGAACGAAGTTTGTTCTGTAGAGGTATACATATATACATACATTTATCTTGAAGCAAGGAATAAAAACTGGACAACATTAAGAATACAATAAAGTATTGATTTTAAACGGCTTCATCATCATCTGTAATAACAGTTGGGTGAGGATTATTACTGTCAACTCCAGACTCCAAGCACTCTCTGTTATTTGACTCTACAGTGTGAATCTCAACTGCTTGACCTTCGGTCAGACTTACAAGGTCATCAGTAATCATAACACTACCGGAGTTTATAATTGGCTTGTGATCAAGCTCCGTAGAATGAGGGGTGTAATCTTTACGTCCAAGTATTTCAGTACTTACTGAATGTGGTACAGCAACAGATGATGCAATATCTAATTCACTAGCTGCTTCATCTAACAACTGAGCAGCACCAGTATGAATACTGCTATTAGATGTTATACAGTTTGAATCTGCAATAGATGAGATACATTCAGATGCCTCATCCAACGAAAGAAGAACTTGGGCTCTTGATGAAGAGTTTGAAGAAACCAGAGGTTGTGCTTGTAAACTGTACATAATTTGTTGAGAGTGACCATCTACACTGGCAATTACTGCACCCATGTGAGTCCCTAGCAGAGCGCCGGCTTGCTGTAGAAACAAGGTCGGTCGTTGCTAGGATTAGTAAAAGAAAGAGAAAAAGCATCCAAGTTTAACCGATGTGATAGGCACAATAAATACACTAGATGGACGTTCACAAAACAGCGATGCATATTGCGATATAGTGTATATGGATATAAAAGGAAAGCGTCAGGAAAAATGCTTTTACACTAAGATTATATATATATATATATATATATATATATATATTAGCGAGTACATTTAATGTGCAAATTGTTAAAGTAACAAGAGATCCTTTGTTAATGTACAACAAATAATCCATTTGAATCGAATTTTCTAACCTTTTCCGGACATGCATTTAATGAAATGTTTAGAGTTGATTTTTTATCAGAGGTGAGAAATACACGTGTGAATGCTCCAGAACAAACAGACCCATATATATATATATATATATATATATATATATATATATAGTAAGGGGAACATCTAGTCAAGTTGATTTTTTGTACAATATGCATGGAAATTGTTTGATATAGAGATGAGATTAGATTTATAAAATATGAAAGAGACACAGAGAGTAATTAGCAGAGGAATAACGACGATAATAATAATGATAGTATCATAAAAATCAATGACTTCAATAAAACGATACAGTTTAGTTATATAAAAAATGACTGATAATAATAATAATGTTTATAACGAACATGCATGGATTGTAGATAAACAAATAGGAAAGTGGAAAGATACAGAGAACAGGAAGATCTTAAAAAGGAAGTAAACATGCAACATATTCGAATCTTTATGAATTGGTCAAGAAACAACAACTGAATGATTAAATGTTCACACAAGTAAAAATGAAATGAACACAAACATGAGATATGAAGAGGGAAGCAGTATACAACATTTTTTGTATGACTAATGTATCAGGCATACAAACAAACAAGCAAACACATACACAGAGAAAGAGAAGAGACGTATATAAGAGATTCATACGGACAGATTAACAGCCACTTGCGATACTTACACCAGCAGTTGATTCTGGCATCTAAGTGGAACGGGAGAAAAACAAACAAAAAAATGTACATAGTTTTATTACCGGAAAGGAATTAGAGGATTTTATTACACTGACTTGATAAATGTGTACTGTTCCCAGCATTTAAGATAAATAAACGTTAAGTGCGATTCAGTGTTCTACTAACTTTTGAAAATCGGAGCGGATTTGGGAAAGGTTCAACTGCTGTATCAAATACTTGAATTAGTGTATGTCCATATTGTTATACGACTTTATGTATCATTGAACGTTTATGTATTAAGAGGGTATACGTTATAACAACTGGCGACGGGGCATAAAAAAAAATATGGCTTTAACTTGCGACCAATTTCAGTTGCTAATCCAGCGACAAGAGCAGCGCTTCAGAAAGAGTCAATTGGATTTCATTGACAAATTACACGCGAAGCTGCTGAATCACCCATGCTTTGGGGGTGAAACGGAAGTTGACGCAATAATTTCAAAATTGCGTACAGAGCTGGAAAACGATTACAGAACTAATGAATATGCCGGAGAAAGCCTCAATGAATCCATACAAAGCAATAATTTAAGCGCAGCAGTTATACATGATCAGCCCAGTACCACCTGTTTCAGAGACATGCCCTGTACACGGTCCAAGTCTTATTAACCCTGAAACAAAACGTGCGAGCAATGAATCGTCCAGTTCACAGAGAGACAATATCTTATTAAGCGCCATTAAAATTGCTGCAGTACCCGCCCATGAAGAAACGGAAAACAAATCGAGCAGTATAGTGAATACAGAAGCGCCAAATGAAACTAATCATGATACGAAAAATTTTTCTAATGAATCTAATGATCAAGATTATCTAATTGTTCTGCCAGATCCCGATTATTTCGCTGATTCATATGTTCCTGTTCAAATCTCTTATAAAAATGTGAGAAAAATATCGAATGCATTAAATGATAATCAAGAATCCAATACAACTCTCATAGATACTGATTATCCGAATGATTCATTATCTACTAATGAGGTTCAGAGGAAATTCAAGGAAACTATTTCAGAAGAATCAAATGTTGGTGACCTCGAATCAAATGTCGTCGATCCTCATGATCTCTTCAGTTCTAATGGTTTCTCTGTTAAATGTGACAAACATATCGCATTAATAGTAACTTGGCTATATGAGGATCCAACAGTCTTTCGTGGGGGAGGATGAATTCGAGAAATTAAAAATCCGGATTTCTCAAAAAGGGGAGGTGTTATATCCCCTGGTGAATTATGAATCGTAAATCTGAGGTCTATTATCGACCAATGTATTATGCCTATTTCTTATTGTACAGTTGTTACGTAACTAAATTATTCATATTCGTTTTCTCTTATCATGAGCTTTATTTTGATCTTTGATTTATGATCATACGATTCTTGAGTTATAATCAGTTTATTGATTACTTTGGTTTGTATAAAAACCCAGTGTGTTTGTAAATAATGATTCATATTTCCGAGGCTGTTATTTGTGTTCTGGACTCAACTGGCTGGGCTAGGCAGTTAGGAAGGACCGAATAGCAATCAAGACTGCTCGTACGTATTTTCTGTATCATTGCACGTTTCATATACAATAACGATTGTTATACGAGTCATAACACATATTATCCTATTTATGTGCTTTTATTTGATGTATTAATTGGCGGTATAAGATTTATTACCCTGAAATAATCACTAATAAATTATTCCCCCATTTACACGGTTTTGTATTACATTGTAGCTTCATATTTTCAGTCGTGCAATTAATGTACATAAACCTAAGCTTTGAGTCAAAAACACAGAAAGATTCTGTTTGGTGACTTATTCTTTTGAGTGAGTACTACCTCCTTAGGAGTTTGTAGAGCAACAGGCATTAAGGTCTCAATCACTTGTTTATTGGTCCTGCAAACAATAAGAGGAAAAGATATATCAACTGATCCCATAACCAGCTGGCCTGGTCACACGGACTGCACCAAAGAAAAGTTTACTTATTATTTTTGAATTTACAATACTCTGTATAAAAATTTAGTTTACTAATAAAGATTTTAGTGTTTCCGATAATCATGAAAGTAATAACTAATGTTTTGTTAAACTTGGTATGGTATTTATAGAGAATAGTACATGATAGGATATTTATACTCATTATTAATAAATACTTATGATAGATAGATTGTGACATTCATTAAGCTCTGTTGATATGACCACATGTTAGGCTATTTAATAAGAGATACATTAGAGTTAACCAATAATTGACGGTCACCGATTTAGTATGTAAGAATAATAGTGTTAGAACATTTCTACTGATATGATTTCTGATTAGAAGTTATTTGATGGCTTGTCCGTTAGGTGGGTTACTAATAACTGCTTTATGCAGTATATACAAGAATACAGAAAACTACTGAACGAGAGAAAACTTGGATACCCTTAAAATGCAACACAGAAGTATGATGGCTGGTAATATGAAAAAGATTTTACATTCAAGAATTCGGACACTGTTAAGAAAAATGCCATAGAGCACTGTAATACTGGGACATGTGAGTGTAATATACACAAAAAAATCAGTCTACCTGAAGCTGTAAAATTTGAGTTCGACTGCCGCCAGCCTCTTGAATGATCGGAACTGCTATGCCACCGGGTTGAGAGACAACTTGAACTAAAGGAAGTGTATTTCCATCGGCAAGGATAGCACCAGCTTGACCGGCAGATACAGCGTCAGTGTTAGCAGCCTGTTGTAATTATTGGTTGAATATTTGAATAATAACATTTTAAGAGTGTTTATTACAACTAAATTGTTTGTAGCGTGTATAAACAATGTAAACGGTAACACAACAAAGAGCTTAAAAGTTAATCTAGAACCTCTGATACAGCTATAAATTAAATATTATTGCACATTAATGACTTCGTGTGTGTAATATATGTCCAAACCACCAATGAATACTAGAAACTGACTTGTTTCTATGTTCCAGAACTTCATATATAAATTTAACGGTATCTAATCAGTGATTTAGTCGCACAAGATGGTATGATTAAATGAGATTTATAATTTACTTAGTTTAGAATGCATCACTTCTCCATTTTTAGTAACCACGCGGTACGGCTTTAAAAATAGTAAAAACACCAATAACCTACAGTTAACCCATTTTTATTTAAGCATTGAAATACACGGTTATCAAACGAAAATCTAGTATCATGTTATGTCATCTTAGGTGTTTCAGGTCAATTTTTGTGGTCATTCTCCTTCAATAAACCGAATCAGTCTACAATGAAAACCAGTCCAAGTATATTATTAACTCTAGTATGATAAGCAGCGATAAAACCTTGCAGTTAAGTATTGCTTTTATTGAGGAGTGAGCAATATGAAAAATTCATATCCTCTAATCGCATATGATACCAAGAAATGCTAAATTTATATCCAAGGTTGCCGTTTATTCCACTGTCTAGTTTTATTTTTGACCCTACTTAGTTTTGGAGTTTATGTCACTAATTCATTTCGTAAGCAGTTGCAATCGGGTACATTTTAACGTTGGACCTCACCAATCGATCAGCATTTTGTTGATTACCTTTATAATCTCAACTGTGCATTAATATAACACATCCATAACCAATGGAGGAAGAAATCAGGAAGAAGCGCTGGAAGTGGAGTAACAGGCGTAAGTATGTAAGTAAGCATAACCAGCCCTCAGGATAAACTCTACTTTTCATTTTATGGTGAACACCTCGGTTAGTTAAATTACAAATCTCTGAATACAATTAGTTTTTGACTAAACAAAAATGTCTATTACTGCATGATGACATACTTCATCTCAAGTTTTTGCCGCCGTTATTTCCCATTCAATCATATCTCAGTGTTCGGTGTTCAGCATAAATGAAATCTTGCGTATAATTATCTGTTATACAGACGATAACACAATATCTGCATCGCATAATCACAAGTCCGATACCATACTCTTTATACAAATTATGACTATTTGTTACTAAACACTGAGGATTTAATATTTATGAAAGTTGGACGTGTCAATGTTGGTTATCTGATTATTTTTTTGAGAGTAGAATCGTCTTAAGAGTGGTAGGCATTTAAATTAATGGTTTGGCATTTCATGAGCTGTATGAGAATGCGTTCGTAGCAACGTCTACAGATTCTTCTACATTTTATATTAGTTTTCTAAGGCGATTTCGTTACCACAAACAAAACTTTAATGTTTGATTATTATCTTATTAAATTATTGGTATTTTTGACTAGGGTCTGTGATATTCTAATAGAAAAAGAACCACAGGTTAAGTTTTAATTTGACTTGTAATAGTTTGGATTATCCCGTTGTTTGTGTTTTGGTTGAATTTAAATCTCAGCTGGCATATGTATACATCCTCTGCCGAATGTCTTGGTATGGCTATTGTGTCACAAGTACTTATAGAATATATTAAATGTGAATAGCAGTGAGATACAAGAAGTCCATTTCGATTTATTTGGGGTTCGACAACTGAAAATACCTGCATCTCAGAATTCACGGTCATTCCGAAATTCAAACATCAACGCGTTGTCGACCTAGCTACTGAGTTCAGATAGCCATTCGCTTGTACAACGGGAATGAATTTCAGTTAAACTTGTAATGATATCCATTATTCCGTTGTTAATGCTTCACGAATACGTTCGATTGGGGAGTCATAAATAGAACGAAATACACATCCTGGATTCTACTACTGGCCACAATCCAACTATTCTGCAAAACGGTTAAGGTTTGTGAGCAATCAACCTATTCGTATCGCATAATTATTGTCTGAATCATTATGAACTATTTCGACAGAGTGGTTGTTGAAGTCATACAAGTGTTATTTTACACTGCAACATCTATTAAAAGACAATGACCTTCATTATAATAAAGAGTTAAAAGCATTCAGTTGAATAATCTCACCATTTGTTTTAAAGCAAATAACCAGTTTTAAGCAGTTTCTTATTTATAATGTGACTTGAACAAATATAGTAAAATTGATATTAGTCTTCCAATAAAGCTTAGAATATCACTTATTAGGAATAGTGAAACCATTAATACGTGAACATGGTATACTGCAAAAGAATATTTTTAGCATGTTTAACAAAATTTAGACGATTTGCATAATGTGACAGCTATTTTAATGTCGAGTGATGCACAATCTTGGAGACAATATAAACAAGCTGATTTCCAAACCCCAGTTTTGGAATTTTATGAGCAAAAAACTTGCATTCAGTATTGTATTGCTATTTAATTGATTTGGAAAAAGTTATCGGACCTATAAAACTCGATCCACTTGCCTGGAAATGTTGGGGAAGAACTTGTATTTGAAATGGCTGACCAGCTGATGCTCCAGCTGTGCCAACCGGAAGCTGAAGAACATATTGCAAAGGGGCTGCGGTGGTAGCGACTGTGGTAGCATTGGGTGCTGAAGCTGCTATTACAGTTGACCCAGAATTAGCTGAAGACTGGGCGATAGCTAGACCACTTCCAGAAGAAATGGTCGTAAAATGGACAGCTGTAGGTTGATTTTGTTGGACTAATGTTTGACATGGAATGGCTGAATTAACAGATGTTGCTCCAGAAAGGGCCGCAGATGCCAGAGCAACAGTTACTGTTTGTGGTTGGGTCGAAGATCCTGTAACATCATTGGACAAACCGGAAACAACCATATGGCCAGAGTTTTGTCCTAGAGATAATGAGTGAGTATCATTTGTATTTGTAAGAAAATTATTTCTATGTGAAGGATTTTCCGACTTAATATTCGTTGAATTCCCATTAGCATTTGAAGTTGATGTTGTTTGCGTTGGCTTTAATAAATAAAAATGGTGTATCATCAAGGTTTATATGACAGTTTGATAGTAATGATAGATAAAAATATTATTTTAGAAATATAATGAACCCATGTATGGGAAAAGACAGACTAATAATATGAATTTAATATAACTGTACTATCTGTTAATGATTTAGTTAGAGTTGTTATTTCACAATGATTGAAATAATGAATTTTGCATGAACTGGGTAAACATTGTTGTTAGTTGTTAGGAGGGACATCAACCTCGTGACTTTTGAAGAATCTCGGCTTTCACCATAAGACATCACAATGCTTCTGAATGAAGATACTTTAACTCCACGGGTGGAGTATGAATGGTTTAAAGTAAGTAAGTGGGTAAACGTTTGTGCTATAAAAACTGATGATTCAAAACACAGAATACTTGTTGTAGATTTTAATAGTGCATTAATTTTTATACACAGACAAAAAGAAACAAAGAGATATTGCTAAAATTTATATAATTTGTTTTTAGTAAGTATTAGTCGTGAATTGCTGGAATGGGACACCTAGACTTAATATTAAATTACTTCAGGAAACAATGTCGATCTCAAGGACAAAGGGATTATTTAAGCTTGTATACAAGCTAATAATACACTACGGTCACTCAGATTTGAGTAGATTAAGTGAGGTTTGGAGATATGATCCTGTCCTTGAGAGTTACCAGCTGAATTCTAATTTAATATACAGATAAGTGGGAGATATTCGCATAGAAAGGCATGAATTTCACCTTTTATATTGTGTACAAAGGTCTGAATATTTCCTCAGAGAATTATGTTATGTAATTTTACTGGTTCAATTAACTACAACCAGACGCTTTGCTGTTTTAATTTACTTACAATCGTTAACAAAATGTGAGTGTATATAAAAAGTGGTTGAAATAATCTACACTTTTCTAAACTCGGTCACTGACCAAATATACAAGAGTCGAGATCATATTTCATAGTTAAATGATATTATGAGAATTAATGTTCAGAACACTTGAAAATATTATTAGAAAACAAAATGATGAATTCTATGACTCTGGGATATTGTAAATTTCTTAAGTCACATGATTTAATACCTGCTTATACAATAACAAGTAAAAACTTACCCGACGATGTCCTCTTGCTTCTTCACGTGGTACAATATCAATAAGAAAATCAAATTGATCTGTATCTCCATCACTGACTGCCATTGCAATATCATTTCTTTGAAGAGTACGCCGGCGGTTACGTTCTGTATGAATCCATGCTCTCAACGTTAGTTCTCGTATGAAAAGCTCAGCGGCTTTTGCGAACAATATGGGTGCCTCAGCGCTTATCATCTTATAAGTAAAAAGTACAAGGATATTCAGAAAACCCTTAATACTCAAAAATGAATATTTCTAAAATTATATTGGAATAATTTACCAGGTGCTAGATCGTTAAGAAAAACTCTATCTCATTTTGCAGTGAATTTATGTAGGCTCAACATGATATTTACTAATAGAGATGACCTGTTATGAGTAGAATTAACATTAAATCTCTGATTAAAGTAAAAATATCACATATTTAATTAACTAGAGCACTTTAATTAGAAAAGTATTTAGGGTTTTATGGATTTTTAAATATTTGATTTTACGTTAGCTTTGATACCAAAACCACTGTATAAAGAAGTGCATAAGATCTCAACAGTAGTTAGCATTTTACAAATGAAGTTTTGTCATGCAGGATGACTGTCGATTGTCAAGATGAATTTAAATGTATTCAGAGTAGACCTTTGTTTAAGAGGTAGAAGATTACTTGCAAACTAACAGAAAAGTTGACTTACATAAGCAGGAACTACTTAATAATATGGAAAGTTATGTGAACAGTAGACAAAGATAAAAAATCAATGTACAAATATTTAACTGATAAGAGATTGAAAAGTTTAAATCTAACCATGACCAGTGACTTAAAAGAAAACCCGATGTCTGTAGATATCTTAGTGATAATAATGACCAAACACAGAGTTATTTAACTTCATCAGCTCAGAGAGGGCAGATTTTGCAAACATAGAGAGGAACTGTCCCCACCGAAGCGTTGTAAACTGGACCTTGAACAGCCAGAATAACATCGAGAAGGCACCGAAGATGGCATGAGCAGCTCCCACCTTTATCTCATCACTCACCTCACCATTAGCATACCCAAAGCCACTCAGATATACAAACTTTTCGACTACTTGTGACTGCTCACTACCAAAAGTGAGTAAGGTGATGTGAACAGAGAAACAAGAAGCCTTTGCAAACTACAGAAGCTGTTTTTGGGGACGTTATTTCATTTATTTCAAAGCTTGTGAAACAGTAACATTTACTTTTGTCCCTAGTCTATTTTACAGATCATAAGCTTTCGTTTGATGTATGATTCACTGTTATAGCCTTTTCTGTTCTAAAGCTATTGTAATTTAGACGTAACCTTTTGTACTCTATTTTCTACTCTAATTCCCCAGTTTTGGACATAATTGTATTTTCCTAATTGTTGTACATTGTAGTCGGGTTAGTCATCTATTTATTCATGCATCTTTTTACACTAATCTGAAATCGAGTACCAGATCGGATTTTGAAATAAATAACATAGTGTTCCAGTTGTCTTGTCTTCTCTTGCGCGTGTGTGCCTGTCAGTCAATCAAGTGGTAGAATAGTTCCCGTCTCTCTACTCTACTTCGAACTCACACAAACTAGCCTCAAGGTTAAGCCAGTCAGACTATCATGTCAAGGTCTTAATCTACATTAGACAAGTTATCCTCGGCACGAAAGTTCGTAGACAAATCAAGGACGTAACATAAGGGTACAGACTCCTGACAGTCATGGGGAAGTAAATTAGGTTTAGGAGCTGTAGAGTACATGACATACTTATGGACATTAATCGTCAACTGAAAGTTTACATAGCATTGCAGAGAGATGTCATCTGTGTACTAAAAATCGAAGTCTGTCTTCAGATAACAGATTCACATCACCACCATCACTTAAATCTACCAAAGTTGTTTCCTTAATGCCAATGATGGCAAAGTTGAATATAAATGGTGAAACTCAACAATCCAGTGTAAATACACTGCTGGACTGCAACAAAAGAGAGGTGGTTGTATGTTCTTACTTTCCCTGAAGCGTTTTGTAAACACACCCTTCAATGGCAACCCTAGACTACAGTCCTGTTCAGTGAGAAGGTGGTCATGATGTTAAGAAACAGTGATTGTTGACCTATATGTAACGGTATTCCTTCATTTGGTGAGGAGGGGTATGATCAACTCACCCATGAAGATCGAAACCAGACTCATCACGAGTTAGTTCTTTGAGTTTTGGAAAACCTGTGGAGTATGACACAAATAGTTTTGACACGATAAGAAGTAGGATTATCGTCCTACAGCTGTTGGATGAATTATGTAAACCTTTATCGAAGATAGGGATGACAGTTGCCTCATTTCAAGATGTTGGATTTTCCACCAATCTATAAAAATTAGTATTAATGATAGAACCAGACATTCTTCAAATAAAATTTGGAAAAGATGACGGTTACTGGGACTTCCCTTATTATTTCATTAGTGAAGTTCTGAACCAATTGGTTCATTTACCACTTCGTTTTGCTTTAGAAAGTAAATTCTTTAACTGTCAGTGTTCATTTTAACTTATCTGCTTGACATTATAATCATGTATGCATGAGAAAACTACGATGTCACTGCACTAGTGACAAAAAATAAATAGCGTTTGATTTTTTTTAATCGTTCGTCAGCCAGTCGTTTGTTAGCTCCTTTGGCATTTTTTTCGTAGTGTATAAATAATCTCGAAATTCTGAGAATATATCTATCTTCACTAGTTCAAGTCAAATAAGAACATTAAAAACCATTACGTGTTGTTAAGGAAATCAAATATGTAGTTGGCATGTTTTTATTTTTATCACTGTGTTATAATTGTATTTTTTTTGCTACATAAACGACCCAGCTATTCCTATTGCTTAGTATTCTTATACGATGACACTCAAAAAGACCCCAAAATCAGAACACGTTGAACAGGAATCAGCAATCAGAAATCAATAGTTTAAATATCGTTCATATATTTATAGTATATGCATAAGAAGCTTATAGATTTTTCAGCAATAATATGCACGGGCTGATCGGTTTAAAATTAACCAATCAGCGCGCAGCAACACCATCATGCATAAAACATGCTTAATCCAATCTATATCCCACTAACACCTCACCCTTGAGCAGATTCGTAGGATCTGGTGTTAGGGTCCAACTGCAACCGCTTTACTGGTTTGCGCTTCCAGTTAGTCCATCTTCTAGGTAATAAGGACGTTGTATCATCCTTCGTTTGGACCTTGACTGTCCTGTCTGTTTCAGGTGTTTTGATCTCAAAGGTGTCTAGCAAAACATCAAGAGGTAATCTATGCTGCGTTTCGTTGTTGGAGATCGAGGTTGATTTCAGTTGGTTAGCGTGACGCACCCAGATTTCTGAACCAACGGACACCTCGTAAACCACATTTCCTTTCTTATGCACGATCCGACCACCTATCCATGTAGGATGTTTTTCTCGATAGTCCATAGCAAGTACCTTTTGACCCACACTGAACAATCGTTTTTGTGCCCCATGATGACTATTGTACTGTTTCTCCATCATCACGTTTCGTTGCGGCTTAAGAGCTGGAGTCGGACGAATGCTGACAAAATGTGTACGTATTTTTCTGCCAAGTAACGCTTCCGCTGAGGAGACTCCATTTGTTGTCTGAGGGTTCGGTGTCGAACGGTGTATAAACAAGAACCTCTCTACGATCTCTTCGGTGTCCCCCTCCCCTCTTGATTTTTTTAGAGAATTTTTGAACGTACCAACAAAACGTTCTACCTGGCCATTCGATTGCGGATGGAATGGAGGTGTTCGGATGTGCCTGATTCTGTTCTGCTGACAAAATTCTGAAAAGTCTTTTCTGACTTCACCTGACGACACTGGAGTGTTTCGAATTGCCGCTGCTGCTACACTCCGTATTTCTAGAACCTTTTTAACTGTCTTTTTTGCATATGAAGTGGTGTCTGATGATGGACACGACACGTTACAAACGCTGTTGATGGGTATATCCATTAATCCAAGCTTTTTTAACATATCTAGACCAAGTAGATCAAGGTTTGGTCGTTCTGTTAGATAGCATACTCCTTTACAGCTATTTCCATTGAAGGAAAATTCACATTGTAATTCACCAACTAGCCTCAGTACACCTCCAGATACGTTTTTAGCCGTTTTCTTGGATGGCTTCATTGGCGGTTTTCGCAGCAAGTTATAAGTCTCTCTAGACACTAGAGTAATATCGGATGCTGTGTCAATTTGGAGACGAACCGCTATACCATTAATCTGGATCGTAACATACTTACTCCGAATGTCATAGTCTGTTTGAAAGGCTGCTATCAGAGAAAGTGATTTAGATTCGGCTGACTTCATGTGTCGAGGACGTTTGTGCGTCTGCTTAGGCTGGGACGTACGATTTGGAGGACAATGACCTTCTTTATGCCCACGTTTGTTACACATCTGACATTTATGTTTCTTGAATGGGCAGAATCGTACATAATGCCAATCACCACATAACCAACATGCAGTTGTTGGTTTGCTACCACTTGTTTTCGGTTTCTGAACATTTAACCTGGTAATAGCATTGACACTACTGCAGGTTAAATTAGGATTTACCTGTTCAATCAACTGATTGTCGTGTCTGATGTTCTGTAGCCGCTTACACTCATCTGTTAACTTTCTGAGTGTGATGTTAGGATCTTGATCCAAACGATATAGAAGTCTGGTTCTAATCTCAGCATCTTGTGGTGACTGCAGAGCTTTGATGAATATAAGGCACTTAAATTGATCTTCTGTCAACGAGCGTAACTTGAACTTTTCACATTCTCTGTTGACGATGTCTGCTAGAACACCATATTCATCGGTTTCTCGTTTCACCAAATTAAGACACTGGTAGCGAATACTAAACAATGAGGAAGATTCACCGAATATTTCTGACAGCTGAGATACTGTCTCCTCGAAACTGAGCTCTCGAGGTAACTTTGGTAATATATGATCAGCATAGCGTGCATGTTCATGACTTCCCGACTTGCGCATCAACAGTCGAGTCTTCCATGCGTCGTCTTGATTACAGAACTCTATTCTAAATGTGTCTTCCCAACGCTTGAACCACGTGAGAAATGTATTGCCACATTCGGGGTCATAATAGAATTCTGGGATGCTGCTGGCAACTGCATCACAAGAAGAAGTACTTGAAACAGCATGTGAACTCGAGTAGCGTATGTTAAGCTGTTGCGTCAGAGTTTCTAACAGGCGCATTTGTGCGTCAAGTTGTGCTTGCTGTTGTTGTAGTATTCGGTTGAGCTGGTCATCTGATATAGGCATTATGAATGAGTTTTCATTTTTCCCCGTCGCCACTGTTATAATTGTAGTTTTTCTATATAAACGACCCAGCTATTCCTATTGCTTAGTATTCTTATACGATGACACTCAAAAAGACCCCAAAATCAGAACACGTTGAACAGGAATCAGCAATCAGAAATCAATAGTTTAAATATCGTTCATATATTTATAGTATATGCATAAGAAGCTTATAGATTTTTCAGCAATAATATGCACGGGCTGATCGGTTTAAAATTAACCAATCAGCGCGCAGCAACACCATCATGCATAAAACATGCTTAATCCAATCTATATCCCACTAACATAAAGAAACTACTAAGTGAGTAAAAATAGTAACTGTTTTATAATTACTGATAATTTGTTCTGGTGCTACACATCATCACTTAAGGCAACGAAAAGTAGTATGGGTCTTCCTTTACAACGTGAGACTAAAATTACTTTATACCGTACTTTGTACGAACTAATTCTTTCTCCCTGTATATCCCTGGATGAAATATTTTATTTTACTACCACTGAAGTATGAGACTCCGAAACATCAAATTTTCTCGATTTCGGTCCAAATAAAATCGGTCCACCCAAGCCTGTTCTTTATAGTTTTCATGAATACCTGTTTGATATTCATTATATCTAACCAAAATTTGATTTAAAATTACTCCGAAACAACTTAAATCAACGCAACAGCAAGACTTACCATACATTTGATATCATCATCCAACTTCATAATCTTTTTAATACGAGCCAGCGGTAAGTCCTGGGTTTTGAAAGCGGCATGGTCACATTTCAGGCCATCTATTTCAACACGTATAAGATCCCAGAACGATAACATTTGAGACTGACAATCTGTCAATGGATCACTTGAGTAATCCATTTATGAGAAAAACACCTGAATTTTGAATGCACCAGAGAAAATAAGATTTCAAAACGAACACTTGGTAGGAGTTAGGTTTTAGAAATTAAACCAATTAGGGAATGAATTAAGAGTTTATATAAGTTTACTTTCTGTGACGGTTCAGTGATAGATGATAGCTAGTTTTATCAACCAAAAAGTGGATACCTTGTTTGAGCTCACTTTTATTTTCAAACTTTAGTCCGGAGACTTGGAAGATTGATATAACACCGTGACATTATTAAGTTCTCTGCACTGATCCGACTACTATGGAGGCTGATGATATCACCCAGATGCTTTACCTACTAAATAAATAATGGACCTTTGCTAATACAAAACAAAAAGCTTGTCATACTGACGTGGACAATTCGCAAAATGTAAAATATTGAGTCGGTATTTAACCTAATTTAGATGACAAATAACGGCTGGAGTTCGAACAGACCCCATATTAGTCTCCAGGTAAAGGAAAGCCAAGTAGCTTAAAATATTCAGGTCAAATTTGTGAATCCCTGTTATTCAACAGATAGCCTGAATGGATCACTGACACAACCTAAGCAAGATCCACTTAAGTCGGTATTATAACAGCATCTGAGGTGGAGGACAGAAAGAATTGATGGCCTACTTCTAGGTAACTTTAAAAATTTTTTGACTTTACATGAAATCCTTTGAACGTGATCAACTAAATATACGAGCACTATTTGAAAAGGACAATGGTATTTGTTCCTCGTTGAGTATATCTTTTAGGACTGTTTGTATCTAAAGTTGTTAAGGTTTTTGTGTGTCTATTTAGGTCGGATTCTTTTTTTATTGTTGTCAGTTACAGCAACATACAAACCTAACCTTTTGTGTTTAGTGTCTATCAACAGTACGTGAATTGATTTCACTTTAAGAGGAAACAGCGAGAGTTGTTATGAGCTCAGCTCTGAATTTGAATGAGACCATAAAGGTGAACCCCGTTAGAGAAGAGGATAACAAGTACACAGATGTAGGCATAGTTACGAGAAAAAAGAAAAAGCACACTGAGAAGAAACAAATTATAGGCAGCACTAGGCCATGTGAATCTATAGTTTCAGTTCCGGATTCATATATCAACGCAAAACAAGCTATAGAGGAGCAAAGTCTGAGCGGTGTGGAGGATGTGATCAAGAGAAAAAACAAGGTAAATGATTGGCTCGTAGTCACACCCAGGGAAAGAAAAGTAATAAAAGGGTGTGACCTCTGCATTGGACGCCGAATAGGAATCGGATTGCAGGGAAGAGACAATTTCAGGAATTAAAGTTCCACAGCGTGTTAACACGGACCTCGCTGATAGGTCAGTCATTTTTCATAAGTTAAAAGAATCTTCTGGAAAGGGACCAAAGACTAGATTTTAGCACGACCTAAGTCACATTAAGTCCTTAATAAGCAAGCTACTCCCAGAAACAGTTTCAGAAGCTAGCATCTGTAAGTTTTATAGAATAGGACAAAAGGTGGATTCTGAAAGTACTCAGAAAAGCCGCCTCCTGAAAGAGGAAAGAAACTTAATGCTGGAAAACTCAAACAAATTGACTGGATCCGGAATATATATCCGTGAGGATCTCAGCCTGGCCGATCGTATTAAGAGACGAGCTGCAGAAGTAAAAAATAAATGACGCACGGAAACAGTGAAATAAACCTCATGCTCAAGGGTTTTCAAATTGTAAAATTTCGGAGCGAAACGATCCCCAAACCACTCTGAGTGGTAAGAGAAAGTTCTCCACAGAATTAAAGTGTGCTAAACAAATGGTCATAGCCTACAAAACAAAGTGGCGGAGCTCAAGACAATGGTGGACATAGAAAATTCTGATGCCATTGCTATCTCAGAAACATGGCTAACGTCAGAAGTGCATGATAGTGAAATTTAATAGATTAGCTTTTTACCTAGTAGAACTGATAGACTAAACAGTAGGGGAGGTGAGGTTATCCTGTACACGAAAAGTATCTTAACCATACGCTGTCAATACAGTGGCACATGGTTCAGGGACATTTGTACTGGCACGCTGAAGGCTGAAATGTAAACGGCAGGATATTAAATTAGTTATAGTACACCGCAGTCCAGAATGTGTAGTAGATGGCTTCCTCCTAAGCAAAATTAAGTTCTGGTCTTATAGGGCTAAAAGCATTATAGTAGGCGACTTTAATGCACTGTATAAACTTAGAATCAGGGTCATCAATAACGTCATTTTATTGCCAATTGTTAGAAACTACAGTTGCACTAGCTTTATTCCAGCACATTAGAGATCTCATCAGATATGACTTACGAAGCTCCTCGTCTTTTCTGGACCTAGTCTTTACACACGATGATGAAGTCGATCAAGTGACTTTCCTCCCATCTCTAGGTAGAAGTGATCATGCAATCATGTTACTCAAGCTCATAACTTAGATGGCCTGTCAAACAGTCGCGCCGGCCCGTCCTAACAAATGGAGGGCAGATGTGAAGGCTATAAATTCTGCAGCATCGACTGACAACTGGATAATTGACTCAGAAGCATCAGTAGAAGAGGTATGGGCTCATTCCATGCAGCTATACAATCAGGTAACTCAACCATATATGCCCTGGACAATCGCAAAGAAAGAGCACGGCCATCCCTGGATAGGCCGGGATATTCGTTTACTAAGACAAAAGTGTTGGAACGTTGCCACTAGCCTTGACACAGTAAGCACGAGGAAACGCTACAGGTTGGTACGAAATAGGTGCATAGTTAAAATCCGGGAAGCTCAGCGAAAGTATGAAATGCAGTTAGCCCAAACTGTAATGAAGCAGTCTAAGAGACTATTCTCGTACATAAATTACAGAACAAAGACGCGGCATTGGACTCCCAACCTGATTACGGAAAGAAGTGGATCTGAAATGATAGAGGATGATCAGGAAAAAGCAGAGGCAATAGCAAACTATTTTGGGACAGAACCAGATCCAATTACAAAGTCAACAAACTGTCTGCTCACCGTGCACTTTGATACAGAGGATGTAGTTAAGGCTCTTAGCACCTTAGACATGGAAAAGTCAACATGACCAGATGAACTACGCCCCGAAATCCTGAGAAAAATTGCACAATATATTGCAGCCTCACTGACTGTGATAGTTAATATGTCACTTAGTTAAGGTAGGTTACCTTTGGACTGGAGGGATGCAATGGTCACTCCAGTACATAAAGCCCCCGAATGCCTTGGTACGGCCGAGAGTGGGGAGAGTCTGCTCTCCCTCCCGAAATGCTCTCACATGATCACGCGAATATATAGCCTCTGCCAGGGAAGTCCTACTCACTGCCTTCTCGTCGCGGGGGTGTTGTTCACAAAAGTGAGAGGACGAAAAGCGAATGTCTGGCGCCTTAACCGGGTTGGTGGATGTGGAGGATCCACCTAGGGGAGTTGGAAAACCCTGATTCCAAACCAATGGTGCACATGGGTTCCAGTATCCTGATGGAAAAAAGGGCGTATGAATCAATCGTTGGTCACAGGCTACCATAGGACTGCATCTCCTCACAATGCTCCACTGCCTTGTGGATCAGACCTTTAGGTGAAAGGTTCGGGGTGTGGCCCCCTAAGAAAACCACCTGCTTCAGTCTGGGCACCTGGGCAGTATCACAACCCTCACACAAATCGAATGAGATTTGTGAGACGCATATTTATCTAGTGCTTCCTTGTACCAATATTTGTGTTTAAATAAATAAATAAAATAAAAACAGTACATAAAACAGGATCAAGACAACTTCCATTAAACTAGAGACCTGTCAGACTAATCAGTACCGTAGTTAAAATACTGGAAATAGTCGAAAAGACCATAATGACATTTGTGGAGACCAACAACTTGTTAAACAGAGAACATGTTTTTAGAAAAGTTTTATCTGGCATAACAAACCTCCTTATAGCAAGAGAGCAATGGATAGAGGCTCTAGGCAATAGAAAATCAGTAGATGTCTACATAGACTTCAGCAAAGCATTTGGTAAGGTGTCAACAAATAGACTGCTCTTGAAGCTGGAAAATCTTGGCATTGCCGGACCTCTCCTAAAATGACTTCAGGATTTCCTGGTACGTCAATGACTAAAAGTAAGAATAAGTTCCAAGTGCTCCACTTGGAAACTAGTACTTGTGTATGTTATGTAAACACATAAACATTGATACAAGGAAGCACCAAATAGATATGCGCCACACGAACCATTCGGTTTGTGTGAAGGCTGGAGAGTTCCGCCAGGATCTAACCTAGGTCCTTTACATTTTATACTGTATGTAAATGAACACCCAAGTATAGTTGAGTCCCCGATAATGTTACTAAACGCTGATGTAAAAATCTGGCTAGAAATAACAGGAGACGCAGATGCATACGCACTTCAAGCAGATTTAACTATTGTGACTAACTGGTCTAAGGAGTGGCTGAAACCTGTCAACGCGGCAAAGTACGTCTACATGCACTTTGGGGATACAAGTGTAAATAGGTACAAAGCAGGAGGTGCCTGTACTCGTGGCCTGGTCTCACAAGGATCTTCAGGTGACAGTGAGTCATGATCTTAAGACAAGGGCCCATTGCCTCGAGGTTGCAGCTATGGAGTTTTGAATCCTATGGGCTTTAAGACGGACATTCCCCAAGTTAAATACTACTGTTCACTGCAGCATACACAACCTTAGTGAGAAATAAGCTTGAAAACTGCGTTCAGGTTGCAAGCTCCTGTTTAAAAGGTGACTCGGATATCCCGGAAAAAAAATACAGAGGGCAGCTACCCTTGCACTTCCAGAACTTCGGGGTTTATCATACAAAGAGCAGCTTGGAAAACTGGACCTCATACCGCAGATTGGGAGGTGATCTGTTATAGAATACTAGGAAATGACCTTGAATCTAACGCATCCTCTTTTTTTCTTCCCACTAGATTGGGACATCTCAGAGGACATAGCAGGAGAGTAGAAAAGCCAAGAACTAACGAAATACCAGTGGAATACAGGTTTTCACACACAGTCATCAATTCTTGGAACCTGTTACTCGAAACAGTGGTGTCAGCACCTTCAATGAGCTCGTTCAAGAGAAGAAAAGATATTCACAGAATCATACTGCAAAAAGAATAACAGGCCACAAGCCTTCTGTCTTCACTACACATATCTGAAATCTGAATAATCATCATTTATAGTATCAACTACGAAATTCCCAGGCAACCAAAAACGAGGGGAAACCCTAATAACGTTTGGATCGAAATAAAGTACCTGACACTAGGTTAGGACAAGGTAGGTAAAACAATCCAGAATGATTTCCAGGGAATTTTTCCCCTTACAAGCCAAACCCGGACCCATAAGAATATATAACACGCCTAAATAGGTTCCATTAAGAGTCGAGTGTACAGTTGGAGTTAGGTCACTCGTTGTATATACAAATATATGACAGGGAAGATTAAGATAAAATGCACTCGTAGTACTGTTTTAGTGCGAATTTATCAATTAAATTCGGAGGAGAATGCGAGATAAATATGCGCTACGCATTTCGCATTACTTTTAAAACGGTCTCCAGGATAATGCATACAATGTACAGAGACAAAACGCCAATCAGAGCTCACCTCGATGAACAGTCAAATTAGCCGCCGGAAAAATCAAACGTGTCCTCCAGGTTCACTATAACCGCCAAGGTTGGGGATTGTATTACTAATTATTTTTTTCTATAGAATCGATGACCATTCATTGCTGTCGATATTTAATGCGACGCGACACCGGATAAAAAGCTTTCTAGACATTGGTGGGAGTCAACAAGGCTATTGATAGCAACATGCTTACTTGTATATATGTTACTGTAGCTTCAGTTTCAGTTTGGAAAGTACAAAAGGCTAGATGACCTATGCTAGTCCTGGAAATGATGGTCTCTCAGCTGATCCGAATTTCTTTTGAAGGAGTCGACAAATGGAGCTCCAGCCATATGTTGAGGTGATGAATTCCACTCGTTGATGTTTCGAAGGGAAAGTCGATAGACAGCTGAAAAGTAATTTGTTATGGGCTTAAGAACCTTTACGGAGTGTCTTTGTACAACCTCTGTTCTTAAAAAAATGAGTGCATGTCGGGTGCAGATTTATCACTAAGAAATTGGAAAACTGTTATCAAGTCACCCCTATTTCTTCAACTTGACAAAAGGGATAGGTTTAATTCAACCAGTTGGGCATCATACGGGAGCTTCGCTATTTAGGGAATCAGCGTAGTTGCTGTTCTCTGGACCTTTTTCAAAAGTTCAATGTCTTTCTTTTGCACAGGGGCTTATTGCTTGTGTCCAGTATTGAAATTTAGGACGCACGAATACTGTATCCAAGGTCAAAAACTTTTTGGCGGCGGCATTGATAAAGGTCCTACGTATTGATGATAAGGTACTGAAGCCCTTGACGGCTATCACACGGGAGAGTGTAGTAGTTTTCAAGCCATGACTAACGATGACTCCTAAGTCACTGTATGTTTGAACAAGAGGTAGCTCAATGTTATTCATCATGTTGTATCTGTACTTTGTTGACCAATATGCATCGCAATACACTTGGAAGTATTTATCGGCAATTGTCACGTTTGAGACAATTCAGATAAATTTCCTAGGTCATCTGGAAGTTTAGAACTATCACGTTTGGTTTCTGTCGCTCTCAATATCTTAACATCGTCAGCATTTAGCAAGATCGATAGAAGACGAAGAAGATCACTGACACTTGCCCCTGAACTCTACCCTGGGGCACTCCGCTAAGTACAGTTTCACGGCTAGCGGTAAATAAATCCCCGAAACAAAACATTCTGTAAGTATATGACACTGATGCTGACCTCATTAGTTTTACTGAACATACATTAGCTGATGGCGCTTAGTCATGGATCCACACCAGATCACCATTGAGTACGTCGTGCTACTCATCCCTTGCAACAACTAACCAGCTTAGATTAAGAAGTACTTGGAATATCAAATACCTTCCAAACATATCTTCGAACAACTTCATTCCCAACTTTCGATTGGACCGGGTTTAAAATATTTGGAACACAAAGTTGTTTTAGGTTACAGCGGTGTTAGACCCTGAATATCCATCACATACTGATTGCAAATGGTTTGCACTAACGCTTCGTAGTCGGAAAATATGCTCCAGTTAATTAACGCCTAATGAAGCCCACACGTTTTTGTTAAATGCCAACTAGTGTATTCATTCTAAAGCTGTGTAAGATCATCAACGTTGATGTTCTATGTCGGAACGATTGGAGGCCTACTCGAGTTAGACGGGGACGTTGTAACGAATAAACTAACTTCGAGGTCACACCTCGCGACCAGCCTTTACATGGATTGAACCATCGACGCATCAAAGGATCATGGATGCTATGGAGACTGTACAACACAAAGGACGTTACTACAAGAATATATTAGGTAAGGTACAACCACGAAAGTACAGAAGCGAACGTACAACCACTGCCGCGTGGGCCAGTCCATGGCGTATGATTAACTGATGCACGCTGACCGTCCCAGACCTTGCCGGGGATTGATGATCTGTTCGATATTCAGTGACCTAACTGCCGGATGATTTGGCTAGGGTTCAGTGACATTCCACTGACCCTACAGCTTAAATTCTTTTGGTACTTTTTATAATAAATATTGCAGTCGCAGTCAAAGTATTGTCGAAATTTTTCTACTTCCAGAGAGCTGCGACATCACATAATACTGAGTTAATTATGTGTTTAATAATGGCTATTACAGCAAAAAGTTTAAATAGTGTTTAATTAATATCAAAATGTGCTATTTGAAAAACAACTTTGAATTAGTCGTAATCCGAAATCTGAGCCATCAACTACGTGCCTGTTTTGCTACTATTATCGAAAAATAATCATTGGGGAATTGAATGACAACAAATACTAGAAATCGAAGTGAATTTTTTCTGTTGTTCACTAGAGTTTTCTGGTTTTCGTAGACTATGCAGTTGAAAAAATGGAATAGCATAACGAAGATGATTGTAATATGTTGAGGTACAAGTTAAAATTCTTTTTCCTCGTGTCATTGATTTTTGTTGTTTAAACGTTCTACGGATGTAAATTATACTCTGGTTTCCCTTACGAAATGTCGATTGCGGATGTGGAAACGGTTTCGTAGAAATGTCACGGAAATAACTGACGTTAGATGCTTTACTGGCTCTTTATCTTTATTTTCAACGTTTTACTAGGCGAAGTAACTTTGATTAATCCTTGGTTTGGTTGTCCACAAGATGATATTTGGGATACAAGTGAGCAATTAGTTTTCAAAACTTGTTAAATACCAGATTGCCCTGATGGATGGTTTAATTTTGAAGCTAACTGTTACTCATTTTTTGTTCAAGATCCATCAAATTATCTGGCAGCAAGAAAAAATTGCGAGGTAAACTTGTAAATATCCTCCCATATATTCTTTAGTCACACGGTGGATTATTGCTCCGTATCGACACATTAGAAGAACATCGGTTTGTAGCTGACAGGCTAAACGATATTGCCGTCAATCGATCGTAAGCTTTTTTCCTGTTGATTTTATTCAAAACGTAGTTTACGCTGGTACACAGCTGGCGTCATGCGCTCAGACTCCTTTGGTGAATTTATGTGGGAGGGTCATCCACTGAGTTACCAGAGTGTTAGGTCGGAGTTACTACATCTGTGGCTTGACGCTATACCTAAGCCTGCCGAACGCCCAACATTTCCGAAGGATCGTACACGTCTTGTTTATGGTACTGATAGAAATCGCTGGGGATGGTATCTGGATACACCGACTGCACGTAGGGGTCATATTTGCCGTGCTCCCGTTGCAAATGCCAATCAACTTCTGCCCCTCTCGAAGTCCCTTGCATATGGAAGCGATTTTCCGAACAGGATCGCTCGAGGTCCTTGTTTCATTGTTCATCCTAAAGACGTATTGTAAGATTCAAATACTTTAGAGGAATTTGTTTTAGATACGTTCATCATATGAGTACTGAAAAGTATGCGGAGTTGCGTTGTGAAGCAAACGGTAACCCTCAACCGACCTATAAATGGTATTATGTTAGCACTGAAATGAGGACGAACAGTACCGGTGATACAATCACAATTTTGCATCGAACACTTATTGACGCAGCAGCTGAACCATCTGGTCGCATTTCTATTAGTGCGGGATCTTTAGTTATTCACAATCCCGATACTTCAACTGACTCACAAATGTTTCAGTGCGAAGCTAAGAATATTTATGGATCCATTCTCAGTCGAACGGCAAGGATTATATTTGGACAGCTCGAAACAGCACCTAAGCAGCCGCGAAATGAGAGGATAGTGATGTCACATCAAAGTGAGACTTTGCCATGTGAACCCCCCGCTCATTCGCCTCCAGATAGTGAGTTAATTAACGTGAACTAGTATATTTTGTTTTCTATTAACTCATCTTTAATAGGTTCAGTAGTACGCATTATATAAATCGCCAGCTTAAACACAGCTTAGTGATAAATTAATCGTCACTTATATTTTTACTTTTTATACTGTAATTGAGAGAACTGAATATTGATAATTTTTTCACCCACTCATATGTTTTCGTTACTAACATTCATGATTATAATATTTAGTATTGGAATTTTCATTTAAATCACGTGGCCCAGTTACAAAGTCAAATATGGTCCTATCAGTTGAGTTGAAATACTTGACAACAAAAACTATAAAATCATGATTTTTAAAAATCGGACTTACTTTTCAGTGACAAGCAATGATGTAAATCGTGTTTTTATCCTATATGTAAAGGATACATAGGCGTAAGTTAATATATTGTAAGCTATCTTGAGAGATTTACGGTTACCAACTATCGTATTATTTTACCGTTAGATATTTCTTTGTCAGTTCAGCATCTCCCTGATTAGGTGTAAAATTGTTTTAGCTTATCACTTGCTTTATTGACCAAATCATTATTACCTTTGTCATGGCTTTAACACTGTGGTTCATTTGTAATCTTTTATAAACATCTTGGCATGTCTAATTGAACTCTTAAATAAAATTACCACATGAGTTACATTTACTGATTTTTGTCTAAAAGGTTCTTTATATATTTAATGGAAAGCAGTGGTCTGTTAGAAAAACCAAAGTTAATATATAAAGGTCAATACAAATCCAAGGGGCTGTCTTGAAATTACTAGGAGCAGTAAAATATAGAAAATAAATTCGGATATTTTTTTACTGACGTTAATATTTAAGGTTTCCCTCACAACTTTTCGTCATAAAACTAAGGTAAATTTCATATGTTTCCCTAAATAAATGACATTTTTAGCCACATTTCAGTTGCTAATTGTTAATGACGATTTATTTGAACTAATATTTTTTTGGAATAGTGCTTGAACCGACAAAATGCCGAGGATCCCAAGAAAGAATTAACTAATATGTTAGCTCCATTAACTCAAGAAAAGATTAGTGCACGCTTTTTCATGTCTTAGCTTCATTAAATTCATTTTTCAATGTAATGGAGTGAAACTATACAATGTGACATTTATTAAACATCTGCAGAAATCTATATTAAAGTTTAGGGTGATTGCCTGCGAAAACAATATTAACACAGAATTTAATTCTTGTTGTTTATTAAGGTTTACTTTATACCGTGTATATGAACAAGAATGGTGAACTGGAACCAGTTTTACCAGAATATCGTAGAAATTTATTTATTTCTCAGGCAAAAGGCCTTATTGGCTTTTCTGAGGTTACAGTGGTGGTAAGTAATAAATTTATTATATGTATGGGTTGAGATTACTTAAAAATGATTAAGAATGTTCTAAAGTCATGATTAACTGATAAGTTTGTTGCTTGAAATATAACTTGACGTCAAGTTAATTTTCTCTGTCACTTTGTTCAGAGCTTTATACTTCAGTCAAACAGTTTTCAAATATGTTGACTTTTTCAATAAGTGAATGAATTAAATCAAGAAATAGGGCAGAGAATATAACCTGTTAGTGATGTATTATTATGGTTTCAACTGCATTATTTGAAATATTTTCTTTCTATAAGGTTGAGTTCATAATTTTGGTATCCGAAGGTAAAATGTGTGTGTGATAGCATATTAGGAGTCACAGAATCGAAGAAAGTGTTTTTTTGTATAAATAACTAGTTAGTCATATTTTAATGTATTTGGAAGCATTTTTGAAGGATGAAATAGCTGAAGTCAAATGAAAGTAAAACAAACCTATTAATGTTAGCTGTTGATTAGCAACCCTAAAATTATTTTTTAAAGCAAGGAGCATTTTTGTGGACTGCAGACATCTACTATTTCAATTCTTTTGAAATATTTTAGAATTTTAATGCTATATGGCCTTTTATCTCGTCAAATCAGTTTTGTTGGTCAATTTCCAATTGCTTTAAATAATGATACTTAATGCAAATTATGTTACACAAATTACGTTTTTGATCGTATTGTATGTACATAAATTTAGTCTTAAACAGATAAAGCATGGAAAAATATGAACAATCACAGATAAATAACACCTACAGAATAAGATCAAATCTAATCATTTCACCGGGTTTTTATTTGACTCATACTATCTGAGCAAACGGTTTATTTGTAGAATATACATTTAGTATAATATCAAGCTTTTGAGACCTTATTTAGTCAATAAACCTTCTGGAGCTTAAGTTATTCAAGGTAGTGATATCTACCGAGCCATTTTGATACACAAACAATGCGTAAAAGTACAGTATACTTCACTCTAAATCTTGTTGTGCTCATCCAAAGTGGTTTTCATCTTACTTAATATTAGTTTCTGTGTGTTCTATTTATACACTGAAATTAGGAAGTTGATAGCTTCTACTAATATATACGTATCTATCTATTAACAGGACAGTGGGGTCTACGTTTGTATGATAACAATGCAGTTTGACGGCCATCGTATGTATGATTCACCGAAACTTCCAGATATGCCTTTCACTGTGCGGTATAGTAATGAGCCGAGACAAGATCCGAGGATATATGATGATTTCCCAGCTGTTTGGCCAACAAATCCTCAACGTGGTCAACTTGTTCGCCTGGAGTGTTTTGCTGCTGGTTACAGTCAACTGGACGGTCTTAAATACTCGTGGCGTAGAGTAAGTTTCTACTAGTGATATTCCAAGAATACCAAAAATATTGAGTTTTGTCTTTATCTTTTCTTCCTAGTAATTTGCCATCAACTTATAAACTATATTCTTCTCAACTGGTTATTACACCTTGGGATATATAATACATTCTTGTGACTTCTACTTGCCGGTATTTACTTATTGCATTATATCCCTCCCAAATCATATGGTAGCCTTAGTTTTTATTCCTGTCCTTGGTGTTACGACAAGACTTATCAAACTAACGTGACTACATAAGTAATTCTTTTTTTGTAGAAATTGCTTTCACGGTAAACGACAAGTTGTTACAATATTCTGAAATAATTATCGCTTTCTGTATATTTTTTGGGAAAGGTTAATAAATTTGAACCATAAAATATAACTATTGTAAGGTATCTTCTATCTAGGAAATTGCTTGATTTCGGTAGACAATAAAATTTTAGCTTTTCTTTTATCAGACTATGGATTTAAAACATTTTGATGGAACGTTTATACTCTATTTATTTGCTTACAAGCCTTATTAACGGATAAACTTTTCCAAACGAAATGCGTTTTAAATTATATATTTTGCAATCTATTTCTTCTAATATGTCGGTGAATTCATTTCCTTTTTAACCTAAGCAGATTCATTCTTTTGACATATTTTGAATATTCTACTAGTGAACATTCAAATTATTTGTTTAGTGTGATACATATTTTCAGAGTTTATAATTGTTATCTAGCTAATGAGTTACCATTCATTTATACTTGTACAAAAATCTTTTTTCATCCTGCTTATTCCATAGTGTTTTAGCTACCAACTCCTACTTCTTTCATTCTGCGTCTATTATAATTCTTAATTTCATTTTTCATCAATCACTACAAACATTTTCTTTCAAAGTTTTTCAGTTTTGAGAAATAATTTAGTTTACTATTTCTTTACAACAAACAAACTACCACCATAACTTTGAACATGTTAAGATCAGAATAATTAATACATAAGTGAGCAATACTGCTTGAAATTAGATCGTCAAGCTTTACTGACTTAATATACAACAAGATTTATATACATATATAAATACGACTAAACTGATCGGGATGACTTATGAGTAATGAACAACAATGCCATCCTAATTTTTATGATGGAAAGTCTTTCAGTATTTTAAAACCAAATGATTTGATTTAACTATACCTAAATAGCCCTTAAATTCCTTCAACAAAAGAGTTGTCAATATTCTGTTGTTGATGTTTAGGTCTCGATAAATGCTGATTTTATAAATTAATTTACAGCATGCTTTCTCTACACTATTATGGTAATTCTTAACTTCTTTTTTTGTTCTGCTTGCATTATTTATATTCAGTTGGATGGTGCACCTCTTCGAACAGATAGTTTAAAAGATTATGATCGTGTAATTGAACTACCAAATGTACAACCTGAAGATCAAGGCGAATATGAATGTAATGTAAGTTGTTAGACTGTTTTCTAATTGGTCACACAGAATTAATCGCATTTTAATCCCTGTTAATTCTGTTTTCGGTTTTCATCTATATTTCCTTCTTGTCGAGTTCCTTTTGTAAACTACATTATATTACTCACTAATATAGAGTAGCTAATAAATTTTTGTGTATGAAGAAAGTGAGACATTGTTGTTGTTTGGTATTTTCAGGTATTTACACGAGCCTGCTATATCCAGTCTATTTGTTACTATAGTTTTATCTTTTCATCAATTTCTAAAGTTACGTCAATCTCTTCTAGGCCCATGCAATATTAATTTATTTGTAACAGTAAACTTAATTGGTTTTCCCATTTCTGTTGTGAGTTGCCGTTTCTGACATAGCTATTGGCTGTTGCGTAGTTAATCATGTTTTTGTAAATAAATCCCATAGGAATGTTGGAGGAGGGATTTTTTTCTTTGAAATGTACATTAATGTCTTAGACACCTCATTAATTAGAGTTCACAAATCCTGTTTTTGATTCCGAGATTTTCTCTCGTCACGTATTTGTTTGTCCTGATGCTTCGATAAGGCTTAACAATACCAGTGAATTTTTTCGTACGTTATAAACCTTCTCTTTATGTATTATTCTAAACTATAATATGCTTCTTGCATTTAAATTATTTTCCAAACAATAGTTTGATATAACGGGATGAAAATGGCGAAATCACATTTTTAACTCATTGTGATTCTTTCGGAAAATTATTTCCGTTTTTAATTCTTTAGAGTAATATTTGCTTTAGCTTTCCAGTATGATATCTTATTTGGTATAGTATTGATTTATTTGAGTATGATGTTATTTTGAGTTAGGATACTTTTGGATGAAATTAACGTAAACTATACTCATTATGATAGACACCGTGTGAATTCGTTATAACTGTAAGTACTTTTTATATATGAGATCTTATTCTAATGACTAATCAAATTGAGTGTCCAATCAATACATATTGAATCAATTTTCGGCTAGGATTGTCGCGTTTCGGTTTTTAGCAAATCTTTACTTGTACCAGTTCTGGTATTCTTACTTCACGTTATAGGAATTTCAGTGATTCCTCGTTCTTTCAAGTATAAGAATAAGTGATGTGGATGCTTCTTTGTCATTTGATATTTAAGGCTATTCAAATGTTTTTAAATAGTTACAAGGAACTGGTATGATTAAAGTAAATTACTTTTGTTTTAGAACTAATTTAATTTCAATAGCTATTGCATAAATATTTAATACTTCATTTTTTTATAAATTAGGTTGAAGATTCACTTGGAAAGATGGCTAGACCTAAAACTTTAAATCTGAAAATCACCGCTAAACCATATTTTACAACACCTTTACAAAATACTGTTGTTGATATAAATTCTGATGTGTTTTTAACATGTGAAGCATCTGGTATTCCAAATCCTACACATGAATGGTATAGAAATGATATAACAGTGAGTCAATTAATTGCTACTGGTAAACTCAATCCAACTCAATATACTATAATACGTGATGGTCCAACACGTTCAACTTTACGTATTCAAAAAGTAATTTATTTATAGTTTTAAAGAAAAATTATAACCCAGCAAATATACTTAATTTTTTGTTGCTTGTGTTTATTAAGGAAAGAAACGACCGCTAATGGTCTGTAATGAGAAGAAAACTATTCAGTATTTAACCTTTCTGTACAAAATAAATTATTTCTGTTATTTTATGATTTGGCACATGTTATAATAGAGAGAAATTTTACGAACTCTTGACTTATGTTATCGATCATTTGACCCGATATGATTTTGTGGTCGAATGATGGTTACTTGTAAGTCCAGATCATCAATGCAGAAAGCTTCCAAGGAATAGGTGTTAAAACATAGAATAACCTATTTGTATAAAGAACTCCTTTTCTATATGAAGATGATAAGCTTATGTATATCATATAGTTTTAACATAAATAAATGTGATTGAAATTCTTTTAAAACTAAAACGACTAAAAGATTTTTATTTTATGGGTCGTTCATTAACCCATGAAATGAAGACTTGATAATTAGACTAAATTACTGTTTTCAATATCAACAAAAAAAGTTTCAAATTTTAATGGATAAGAGATTCACCATATAGTGAGTATTAGTGAGATAAATTGACAACTACACCATCCTCATATTACTTTTTTACTTAGACTTCCTAGTTAAGTGGTTATGTTAAGTCTTAGAACTATCCTGAATTAATTTTTCTCATGAATTCATATCACTCACTGAGCATAAAACCTGACGCTCGTGACTTTGGTTTTACTAAAAGTTGTCACTATGAATACATGGAGAGTTTTAAATACGAGCAAAATAATTGTCCACTTGTCCCTAGGTTTTAATGATCATTCGATTGATGTCAGATTGTGATGACGATTGCTTCCAAATTTATTTCATTAGTTTTGATAAATCTATACACTGTTTTTAAAGTATTATTTAAACGATCGGTGATTTGTTTTACATCAATCAGTACACTGAATAAAAATAATTTTATAATGTGTGTAATACCATTAAACATCGTTTTGGTATTCAAATATTAGATAAGAATTCTGATGAAAAGTATTATTAGCCCTCAATTATACATATCAGTTACTACGGTTTTGGGTTATAATTTGTGGTTGTAAATCTATGAAATGCTTATTAACCAAAGGATTCTAGAGTGTTATATTTGTTGGCTGCTCATTTTTACCCTGGGTTTCAACCGACTATCTTCAAATTATCATAATATGTATTAATATACATTTGATTAATATTAGTCGGAGTTACGAAATTACATTTTTAGATGGTGACAAGTGATCGATATGATCCTCAGACAAAGAAAAGATGGTAAGCTCATTATAACAAAATAAATATCGGTTACATTAGATGTTTATTGTTATGAGCTCATATCCGATAGGGTACCATGGAAATTTAAGGAGCAGCAGTCAACCACTTCCTTCTGATTTGTAACATCTTAGCAGTGTGTACCTTCCACTTTTCAGGAGATGTTAATATATTTAGATGGATTTTTAGAATATGTGGTTCAGATTCCCAACCTCACACTATTGTTGATATTGGGTGACAATCATCAAGTGTCATCGATGAAGACTCTCCAACTCCGTACATGAGTGAACTCTAAGAATCATAATTTTCCATCAAAACTTGGGAAAATTCATTGTTACTCTGGCCCGTCCGACTGCATATTATTTACATTAACTTATAATATAGTAATAAAACTGTTAAAACCCATTAAATTAGCGTAACGAAAAATATGAACCTAAATAATTGTTGCTCATAAGTCATGTCACTAAATGCTACATTATTTCTAAGAATCTGATCTGATTCCGTTTCTACTTATCATCAATATGTAAAAAGAAGTGTGATTTTCTTAACTTCCATGTAACGAAACTGACCTTGAAACATCTCTTTGCTAGAAAAGCAATTATCCAAGTTGAACATCAAAATGTTCACCAAATATTGGAACATTGTACAGTTCGAATATATGCCAAAATTCCAATTGGTGTTTTATTTTCTATGTAAAAATTTATAATCAAAAATTGTAAAAAGTAATCAACAGAAGATTTTAGCTTTTGCGTCTTTAATATTTTTGTGTGTGTTTGAGTGAATATTATGAAAATTTCATTCTTTCCATAGAATATACAAAAACGTTTTGTTTAGGCGAGTCTATGAATAGAAACTTTAAAGTGCATGTTTTATAGACAAACATTTCAACCGCGTTGGCAGCAAATCATTGAATAATGATCAGAGAAGATCAAACAAACTAATCGTATATCGTATAGCTGTAATGGCTTAGGAAATCTAAAAAAATACAAAAAAATTATTATTTGTTTAAATTAATCTTATTGCAACGTTTTTTAAAAAGTTGTATTCATACAACATAAATGCAACACTAAAAACTAGGTTCTTTATCACATTATTTTTTATTCTATTATTTCAGGTTAAACTTTCAGATTCTGGTATGTTTACTTGTTTAGCATGGAATAGTTTGGGTAGTGAAGCTTCATCTGCTGAAGTACGTGTATTAGAATTAGCACCAACATTTCGCAAACATCCTGTTATGCCTAATGAAGGTATGGTTGGAAGCACTGCAGTCATGGAATGTCAACCTGAAGGAGCTCCTGCAATGACTGTAGAGTGGCTTCATGATGGAACTGTTCTAACTACTAGTGACAGTTGGTTAGATCCGGAAACGGGAACTGCAAATGTAAGTTTTACCAGTCTATACGTTCTCGAAAATTCGATTTTCCTTACTTATAATATAACAAAATTAATACCTGAAACACACACAGAAATGTTGCTATATCTCAGCTGCGGTACTTTTGATCATTGCATTTAAATGACATTCAGATTTTTATAAGTGTTACTGAAGTGAATATTTTAAAACTTAAATCATCGGTGTACAGATGTTGATTGCTATTTTTTTTAATACTGAATAAAATCAGTACTGGCAACAACATCCTAAACGGATTAAGAAAATGTTTAGTTATTTTAAATTAATGACTCAAAATAGGAAATTAGTACAGATAATTTTAAATTTTATCAGTGGGTAAGTTAGTAAAATTCCGATTAAACGTTTATGTTGACCCAATTTCTTCTTAGTATGTTAGCATTTTTCACAATACAGTCCACTATATTGAAGATACGTTGATTATGGGAAATTGATAGAGAACATTAAATATACACTTTCATCTTGTTTAAATTTACTATTGCTTAAATCACTCAAATATGTCAATCGTTATAAGAAACTGCATAATATGTAAAATAAATACTTGTGACGTTTCAGTTATACTGCAAGTAGGCAAGTAGTGAACAATTTTTCGCTAATTTTTTCATTTCAAAACTTTCCTTTATGGAAAGTATTTGGTAAGATGTTGAATTCTTAGTCGTTTTATCTATCATTTAAATGATTGTATATGAGTGCATATAACTTCCCACTGCTTATATGCTACCTAAAATATGACAATCTTAACAACCATTGTAAACAATACTGAAGTGATACTAACTGGGTTCTTCATTCTTAACTCTGTTGTTTAGTCACGTAGTTTAAACGACTTTCTGTTATTAACTAGAAAAATATCTGTCAAAGGTGAGACTATAATTTATGGACGATCTTTGAACGGTGCTAAAGTGACCTTGAGAATGTCCACTTACTGACAAGGTCTAGATGAGGGTTGGTTATAAACCAGAGTTAGGAATTAGAACTATGATTTACAGTAGATGGTTAGGATTAGGAATAAGATTTAGGGTTTTCATCATGAACTGACATAAGCTATAGTGACAAAACGCTATTTAGCCAAATATATAAATGAGTTTCGCGCTAAAATCCATGACTTGTCATCTTATATCTGACTGGTTCGTCTATAAATTATAGTCTCGCCAAAACAAAAACCATAATTCACAATGGAAATCCTAAATAAATAAATTTAAAACTTTAGCATAGAATGAAAAGAATGTTTAGGTTTGTGTACCGAATACATTAATTTCTACTTATTTAGTTGTAATTCAGAACAAAACAAATTATCGAAAGGATTTTGAACAAAGGTAATTATTTGCATCACTAGTAAAATGAAGCTAGAAAGTGCCACTTATAACATTTAAATCTTTATTTTTGGAACTTATTGTCATTAACAAGATGTTCAGAGCTTTTATGTTCAACTGCAGAAACGTTTCAATGCTATGTACGTACTAAAAGGTTTTTAATTTAAAAAGTATAATTGTTCATTTCTTTAGAATGGTATTGTTTTATAAAGATAAAACTTAATTCAAAATAATTACTTAAAAAGCAATAGCTTGGTTGAAGTTAACGGGCATATCCTTTTGAAGATAATTTGCATCACAGACTGAATTTAGTTGGATATTCATTAAAAAAATGGTAGGGGTGGAATAGCAATTTCTTCAGAGTGTGAAGCGATAACTTTGCTAGGGATCAAAATCAAAGCTTTAAACTTCTTAATTGAGAGGCAGTGGATCATCTTTCCAATTCTAGCAAACTCGTAATATTGAGCATACACAATCTGTTGCTCATTACCATATTATACATAACATTAATTCAAATATTTATTCTTTTTTTCGCTTTTTCATAGTGTGCAACTAAATACTGCAAACTTCCTAGTAAAAATTTATTAATCGTTGATCTTGTGGAATCAGATGCTGGACAATATACTTGTATTGCAAAAAATACTTTAGGTCAAGCAGAATCAAGTGCCTTATTAACAATAATTCCACAATTAAAAATGAGCTTAACACCAATTTCACGTGTTGTCTATCGAAATTCCACTGTACTTCTGCCTTGTCGTGTTCAAAGTTCATCATATTTAGATGTGAATTATGCATGGTATTTCGAGGTATGTATGGTAAAAGGCGTAGATTTTTGAAAAAAGATTTTTACTGAAATATTTGATAAACATAATCTGGTTATAATTTACAAGCAATTTACCCAAAGTGTGCTCATAGAAATTTCTAAATTACATTACATTTTGTGTTAAAAACTTGGTGAAAAAGTTTGATGAATAACTTTTACACGTAAATATAATTTTTATATAGTTGAGATTATGAGTCAAATGAAGCTAGACCACCATGGAAAACCTGGAAGCACTAGACGGCCGTTTCGTCGTATGCGCACTGATGAGGAGTCCCACAACAGGACGAAATGGTCGTACACTGCTTCCAGGTTTTCCATGGTGGTCTAGCTTTATTCGACTCATGATCTTAACTATATAAAGTTACTAAAATCTCCACAAAACCCCCTTCTGGTAAATATAATTATCATAAAAGGTGATTTTTCAAAAATTTCATGCAGTTAGTTCCCTTTATGAATTTAAATAAAGCCAGAATAACCATGGATGCACAATATTATGAGTTGATTATACGTGTGAAAGAACAGGTGGAGGTCATTTAGTGTTTGATTCAAAAAACATTGATGAGTGTGTGACGTAATAATTGAGTGAGATTCAGAGACCGATAAGATAAATCGTGTGATAATTATAGAGGTAATGAAGGGTTTGCACAAGATTCCTGAAATTAAAAAAAACTGGTAAGTTGGGTTCCGTTACAATTAAACAGGATTTAATGAGTTCAACATAATTTAAGAGAATTGAGTGAGTCGAAATGTATGAGTGAATGGGGTTGGTTCAAATGTATATAAAAGATGTGTTCAGTAATGAAATAGAAATATAACAAACTAAATATTAACAAAATAAAACTAATGACTCTCATTTCGTCCTATTTGGGACTCGTTACTTGAATACACCCACACCTGGATGTTGATATTTACACTGTGCCGCGAACCCACTACCTTCTTAAAAGTAATTAAATATCATACGATTTTTGTAAGCTATCGGGGCTTTGGATCCCGTATCTCAATGTATAACACTTTCTAATTTGAAGCGAAACGCATTAGGTTTGAGTCCTAGTATAAACATCAACATTTGGATCCAGAAACAGCTGGCTGACAAGTCATGGATAGAACGAAAAAAAGGTTTACGATCTCACTGCAACCTCCAATCCATCTATTGTATATTTAACTCTAAGATAAATATCTTTTAAAGGTTGCCAGACTTTAAAACACTTATATTTTTACTTTGTATAAAGGATAGAATATGTGATACGTTGCTTGAAGTTTATATAAAGTTACTTCATATATTTTTTCGAAAATATCTATTATAACAGGCGTAATGATTACTTGATGTAGAACATTGAAATGTATTAGTTGTAATTTAAATTGACGATTGACTAGCTATTTGTGAATATTAACAGTTTATGCTAATAGCTGTATAGATAGATTTCATTCCTGATATGAGGTATTGAACAAAGAACTGTATGAATTGAATAAAGCAAAATGATTGCCTCAGATTTTTCTATGCTTTACTGAAATACAGGTAAACCTACTGAGTTCAGTAATTATTATGGAAACATAAAGCATCTAAAAATTTCATAAAATTTCAGGAGCTCAATTTCTTTATCCTCACTAATCTAACAAAAATTAACAAACTGTTCAGTTAAACAGTTTCCTCTAAGTAACTACATAGATTGAGAATGCATGACAAAATATATTTATGGCATTCATAAACGAAATCCTGTACCTTGGTTACTGTTATGATTTAAAGGAAAATAATTCAATAAAATCAAGGCATCTTAAATCTCCTATCACGTAATTGATTGGGAGTTAGGGATATAAATAAATACATCAGTATACAGCTATTTACCTAAGTTATTAATGCTCTAGCCTTATTTTTGTATTCAGCTTACCTTTTTGCGCAAATTTGTATTTACTATTTGTGTGGTCAAAAATGTAATAAGTTTTTTTAAATTATATCATGTAAACAAAAAAAATATATTGGTGAACGGTTTCTCAAATTTCGTGGATTGGTTGAAGTTAGACATTAACACCGTTAGATGACGGCTCAGTAGTCTATCGGTTAAGTGCTCTGGCGCGAGACTGGTAGGTCCTGGGTTCGGATCTCGCTTGTGAGGTGGGATCGTGGATGCGCACTGCTGAGGAGTCCCATGATAGGAAAAAACGGCCATCAAGTGCTTCCAGGTTTTCCATGGTGGTCTAGCTTTGATTGACTCATGATTTCAACTATGAAAAATATATTTGGCTACGTGTTAATGAGCTTGTGTATTCTGAGCCTAATATATTTGAAAGTAAACTTAGAATAAAACGTTTTATTTCAACAATGCAAAGGTGTTTATTAGTTACGTTACTTTGATTTTTACTGAAAACAATGTATATTGTATGGGAAAAATGATGTTATTCAATAAACAAGCACGATTTCATATACTCTGATTTCAGCTTATGCTTTAAATAAGAACTAGTAATACTGTACAGTCGATAAAACAAAAGTAGCTGGAGCGGATTTTAAACCCATTTAGTCAAAAGTCGGATGTTGTAAGCACTGGACTGACACTCACAAGAAGAGTAAATGTTATTTAATGTACATTAACTATGAAACACATTGTACATATATCCTCCTGGTCTCTCACGTTGTCCTAACATATATCGGGTTATAGGTACAAAACTAGCTTCATATGCTTCACTTCAGGCGTTTAACTAATATTTTTTAACTTTCACTAAAGATCCACTTATGTTTGAAGTCAGATAAATTAGCTAAAATTTATTCGAGCTTCAACTGAGCAAACTTATAGACATTGTAAATTATTTCTATATAAAAAGAAAATTATGTAAGGTCAGAATACTTTGTTGTGCGAGTTCTCAGGGTTGTTTTTTGATTAAATCGTTAAGTGAACAGTTAACGACTTTAAAATGCTAAAAACTAACTTTGTTCATTTTATTTCTTACAGAATTTTTTAAATTTCACTTATCTTATTTCTTGTTTGCTTCTTTTTTCAAAAAAATGTTTATTTACTAGGGTGTAAATCTTAAATTTGACCGATTAGATTTAGATGCTAGACGATATGAACTTGCTCAACTTTACAGACCATATGGAAATTATTTTGGGACATTGAAAATAGTTAATGTTCAATTTGAAAACTCTGGAAATTATACATGTGCAGCAGAAACTCCATTGAATTCACAATCATCTAGTGGTGTTATTCGAATAGCAGGACCCCCTGGACCATGTGGCGGTATGGGATTTGTATATAAGATAGTTTTGGCATACAGTTTTTCTTAATAATTTAATGTAAAGTTCATCGATAGAAAGAAGATAATAAAGACGATAAATTCAGATTTATAGTCATAAACTATATCTTAATTTCTAAATTATATAGATAGCTTACTTCTTTAGTCAATAGTCAAATTTGAATACATTGAAGTAGGTAATGCTTGACAGTAGTTATTTAGTCATCGAATGCATGAATTCGATTTACAGCATCGGTAGGCTTAACTACTTTAGCTAACAAATAACTAAATTATTGAATCAACTATTTGCTTCTTCCAAACAAAGATAATTTTTAATGTGAGCATCACATCAACTAGATAACTGAAAATTAAGGAATATTGAGGAACAGTCCCTGTTATAATCTTAGTTAACAAATTCACAATAATGAGTATCCTATAACCCCTGCGTTTGATTGAGTTTTGAACCACTTAAGTCTCATGGCACACAAAATAGGTGCAGATAATATCAATAAATGATTCAAAACTACATTTAAAGTAGACAGGAAATCTTTTCAAAAGCCATATCACTATATAATTTATTGATTAAGCATAGTTATATTTTAAAACACTCGGTTCCAAAGATAAACTGAGATAATGATGTGAGAAAACTATGTCTATCAGGATTATGAGATACATCAGAATAATAACTTCCAAACAATTTGATAATGTTCAGTTGTGTTAACATGTATTTATATAAGAAATATGAGGCCAAACTAGACAAATAAAACTACAGGAAAAGAATGTAAGATAATAAAGAAAAACACAAAATCCGAAAACAACTTTCACTTTAAACTTGTTCTGAGTAATATTGAGATTTGATTTATTATGCGGAATGGTATGACTGATGGTTTTTTTTAATTGTCCTTGTTTTTATTTTTCCCGAGTTCGCTAGTTTGAGATTGTATTTCTTATTGAAATTAATGTGTAATTCAACAGTTCAAGGTGTATTACACTATCGCATCACGAAGTTAGGACAAATTACGTCTTCATATTACACTACTTAAATAAACATATTTGTTATATAGATCAAATAATACGATGTTATACAGTTTATTGACTAGAGACAACTAATTCTTCTTGAAGACGATTTAGTAGTTTCTAATTAAAAAGAAGTGTAACATAGTAAGCAAAGATGGATAGTGGCTAGCAGTGGAATCCAGGACGCGCGTTTCGTCAATTAGAGACTGACCAGTTGCAGTCCTAACATATCGATAGGAAGATTCAAACAAACAATACTAAATGAATTTGAAGTGCAACATATTTTTATGATCCTTATCCTTTATGCCTGTATATTTATTGTAAGAAAACTTGTTCATGTTTTCTCTATATGAATTATTTCAGGTGTTGTAGTTGATCCTCATGTTGGAGTGGATCGAGTAAATGTTAGTTGGGCTGTTGGTACATCACATTTATTTCAAATATTATATTTCCAAATTGAAGCTAATGCGATGTATGATCCACCTAATCAATGGACGATTATGGCTTCTAATGTTAGTGTATCTAGTACAAAACTGCTTAAACCATCAGGTAAATTTAAGCATACATATTTATATCTCTTAAATGGTTGTGGGTTTCTATTAGGGAAATCTAGGCATAGATTTTGTAGCAGTTGTGATTTATCAGAATGGGATACTTGCGGTTTTGAGTGAACTGACACTTCCACTTGAACCAGAATCATCCAGCGTCATAATCTGTAATTGATCACTAATTTACTAAGCTGAAATTACCGCTAAAGAGAATTATGAGATTTATTTATTTATTCGATTCCCTCGATTTATTTGTTTTTACTAAACAAACTTCATTGAATTCACTCCAGTGTAAACTGATCAAGATCTTCAAGTACTTATTGGGGTATCATGAATCTTTTTTAAACATTTATGTGATAACCGCGAAAGTGGTTTACTACTTAGCTAATTTTTTGTTTACATCATTAAGTGACTTAAGGTAATGAACTATAGAAAACCAGAGAGTAATAAACAACAGTTCCATTGAAGTTTAGAACGTCCCAGAAGTGTAAAATCAAGTTCACTTATGAATCGAAACCAAGATCGTCGTATCTCTTGGGGAAAACAATGCATTTAAACTTCTCATTTGAGACACGATATACTTGGTAATTATCATAGAGCTTTGTAGAAATTTTAATTCATTTTGTATTGGTTGTTTGAATCTTCCTATTGATGTTGACGAATGCAGTTGATCAGTCTCTTATTGACACATATGTAACTTGTGCGGATTGCCTCAACATTGTCACGATCCATTTCTGCTATGTAAAATCACAAACTGGCCTTGATTAGATAACGCCTAAAAATGAGAGAATACTAGATAGCTGTCTCATTCTAGTGTGCAACTCAGCAGTGGAAATCCATGACATCATCAGGGACATTCGATTTAACACTGAAGATCAATGGTTTGCATTTCTAACATGAATTATTCGGCGATATCGCATAACCATCTTCTAGTGTCAACAGAAAACAACTGCCTCATTACCAATATGGTTGAAATAAGTTGGTCACGGCTCCTCACTAAAACGTCGGGAGTTATCCTTCAAAAGTAATTACTAGCGTCGACATGATTAAAATTATCATACGGGATGAGTGCCACTGTAGAGTCCCATCCTATGACGAGATTGATATTCATTGTTTCCTGGCTTTAAAATCGGTCAGCAATTTAAAACAGGTTTGATGATTTCTTAAACCAGTTTTAAGTACACCACATCAGTTGAAATAAGGAACGTTTTTGGGCCGCTTGTGACGTCTCATGTTATTCATTTAGATCATATAACTACCTGTTTGTCTGCACCAGGCCATCACTATTAAATGTTATCATAGTCTGATAAATTATTTTGTGAACTATCCAGGTATATTCCCATTTGTCGTTTTCAACCCCGTAAAAACTGGATTGTATGTTTTCTATAAAACATGAGTGTGCGTTAGATATATATGTCTATCTACTTGTATTTTAAACTTCATCTATTCTCATGTGTTAGATAATTCATACTTAATTAGATCGAGTAGTTTAGTAACAGCTTATCTGACTCTATCTATTCAATTCTAGTTTATGCTTTGTCTGCTACATGGTACACATAAAATACATCCTTCAAGTACATTCCGTGTTAGGATTTTTGTACCATCGTTCATGGTCATCACTAATTTGAGTCAACTAACGCGACCATAAGTTTTTAACTTGAACATATTTTTTTTAAAAACACAATTTTTCATTTGACTCCACATGTCTCTATCGCAATCGGATTAATATGACCAAAAATTCTCGCAAACCAACACTGGTTATTTAACTGATTTCCATGTTCCTGGTTGCTGAAAGTTTTAGCATCTTGTTCTAATAAATTAAATGACGATTCTTTTATCTGAAAGAGAAAGATTTGAAGTTATAACTTTTTTTCAAATTTGTTTTAAAATTGATAATACTACAATCAATATTTACGTGTTTATTTACTATCTTTTTTAAACAGATCGTCGAATGACTGTCGTTAGCAATTTAGCTGCTAATATGGCTTATAGAATACGTGTACGTGCAGGGAATGCTTTAGGTTTAGGTGAACCTAGTCCACCAAGTTTATCTTTTACTACTTTACCAACTAAACCTACTTTAATACCACAAAATGTAACCGGTGGTGGAGGCAAACATGGAACATTAGTATTTAAATGGATACCATTAAAACGTGTCAATGAAAATGGGCCAAATTTTCATTATAGAGCTCATATTAAAGCTAAAGAAAATGCAGAATATTCTATTCATGATTTATGGACAGCTAAAATGTCAGATGATGGAAAATTTTTGCAATACACATTGACACTTGGTGATAATCTATTTTACAAACCATATGATGTAATGGTACAAGCAGTTAATAGTGAGGTAAAATTTGATTTAAACTATTTGTATAAAGGATTTTATTTTAAAACGGCAATATATAATAATTTATATAATATCAAGTGTTTTTAAGACTAGAATATAAACATTAAATAAGAATAATATATTTGTAAAATCTCAGCGAATGAATTTGAAGTAAATCCAACGTTTCTCCTGGTAATCTGGTTCAAGCTTTTTCAAGGAATTATGAGCTTGGACCAGATTGCCAGGCGAAACGTTGGATTTACTTCGAATTCATTCGCTGAGATTTTACAAATTTATTATTCTTATTTAATGTCATACATCGACTCGGCGCCCAAATACTGTGAAACTATTCGCTCTAATGTAGACGAAAGTTCTTATATAGAATATAAACACTGTCTAGTGTACAAATAAAAATGTTTACAAACACTATGGACTTCTAAGAAGACATTTGTTGCTACAATTTACTGCTAGTTTAGTAACAGTTTATAGATCATAGTTATTAAATAAATCATTTGTTTATTAACCTCAAATGCTTAACAGTAATGATTATTATGTGATGTGAACTACTTATGACCACATAAGTAGTATATGGTGATGGTCAGACATAGAATGTATTTTGGCTGAAGATCGATAAGGAAAGAACTGAAATGAAGCGCAATTGGTAGAAAAATGCATGAAAAATGAAATTAGAGAAGATAAACTGATATTTCCAGAAGGAACAGTGAAGATTCATACAATTTATTGTTATTTTACAAATTAACTGTTGACGGTATGGTTATCAGAATTTAGTGAGATAGTCTGTAATTTGTGCTTAAATTCATTCGATTGTCCCCACTCGTGTTTTGTTCACTACAGTTAGATCTAATACTCGTTAATAAAGGTGGTGATATTTTCATACACCGGTTCCGTATATATTACCATAGAATATTTAGATGATCATGTAATCTACAGTCATATGTCAGAAATAAAATAATTTTATATTCTTGCCCTAAGGATTCTTGTTAGGATTGGATGTGCTTGTCATATAAATTTAACATGTCACCTTTATGTATAAGGGCAATAATAGGTTTCTAAGTAATAGTGAAACAATTGTCAAGTTCACTAGAATTGATACAGTCTGTTCTCTGAACACACTATCATAACTGTACTGGTGTAGTACAACTGTTTATTCCCTCAAATGTTTTTCGTTGAGGTATGTATTGGAAATGAACTCATTTACTAAGATTGAAGCAACTGATTTATAATGTCACTCAGTAGATTAACAGTTGGGAGTATTTTCACAATTTAGTCAATTACAATTATGCAACAATGGTTTCATGTAATAATTATGGTCAAATTAAAAGAAAACTGTAATTGTACTCTAAGCAAAGATGGATAGTGGCTAGCAGTGGAATTCAGGACGCGCGTTTCTTCCAATTTGGACTCGCCAGCTGGATGTACCTTCATCTCAGAGTTGGTGTTCACTCTGGGACTCGAACCCAATACCTTTTACTTCAAACGTCATCGCGTTATCCACTCAGCTACTGAGTCCTGATAGCCACTTGCTTGTACAGGGCTATATCGAGGCAATACGCACAGTACGAACATATGCCAATAAGAGACTGACCAGTTGCAGTCCTAAATATCAATGGAAAGATTCAAACAAACAATACTAAGTGAATGTAATTATACTGTTTCTTTTAAACTAAAAAAACAGTTATGAAGAAATATCTACTTGTAAATAACTTCAGTCTACCTAATTTTTTTCACTTTCTAAAGAATAACTTACTTTTAGATTGGTTAATATTTCTCATAACATGTACTTAACTCTTAATTTTGTTTAGTTGATTTTTAGGTTCATTAAAAATATTTTATAATTTGTTACTTATCAAATATTTATTAATAATTCTATGTACATTAGGGTGCTGGCCCTTTAAGCGAGCCAGTAACAGTTATGTCTGCTACTCGTGTGCCAACAAATGCACCAAGTGGTGTAACTGCTGGAGCATTCAATTGTTCCTCTATTCGTGTTTGGTGGTATCCACCTCTTCCATCAGAAGGTGAAGGTCCTACTTGGGGCTATCGAATTTTGTACTGGCCACGTATATCTGATTGTCGTTCACTTGAATCAGATCGTGCCAGACATCAACTTGGTCAACGTCAAACAGTTCATGGTGATGTGACAGAAGGTTTAATTATTGGATTAGATGCTGATACTTATTACTGTATTGCTGTGCAAGTAATTCGTTTTAATATTTTTTTGAATTAAAATAAGTTAATTTTAAATAATTGAAAAGTGTGCAATTTATTACGGTTTATAATGAAGTTCAATCCGCTATTCGCTATACTCTTATCGATTAGATTATATACAAGTTACCAAAGACTATACAAAAACCCACCAATAACACTAGATATTTATTTCTTTTCCTGTTCTTAAGAAAAATCAAACTTATGGTTATAAGTCAAACGATTTTTCAATATATGTTGTGGAATTTGTAGATATACAAATTAACCTTTAAATTCAAGTGAAGGTTCATACTAATAGTTGCTCGATTTCACCTTAATATCTATGTATAAACTCATAAGCTAGGCACTCAACAGGTTTACTATGCCAGTAATCGGTTTTGGAGATTATTTCATTGAAATCAGACCGAAGGTATTGGATCCGATCCCAGCGTTTGGGTTTGTGGATGCGCGCTACCAAGGGGCAACATACTATGGTGAAACGATCGTCTAATGCTTTCAGGTTTTTAATAGCGATCTAACTTAGATCGGTTTATAATTTCAATGAGATTTATTATGTTAAGTCTAAAGTCATTATTTCTTCATCTCAAAATTATTTAAGCGTATTTGGGTTAGAATATGAAGTTGTTAACTAGCCTAATTGAATAAGTCATTTGATATATAAATTCATTCCTGTCAATACACAACAAGATGAATTATATTATTCACATTACTATGGTGTATTATCGCCATTTCACATATTATCTGATTAAATTATTGTTCATCAGTTTCTTTACTTCCATCATGAAAGAATACATTGGGTATATATATATATATATATATATATATATATATATATATATATATATATATATATGGTATTGATTCAGAATTCTAGTTGACTTTTGCGTTATGGGTCTTGTAACACTAGTGCATGAATGCTACATAACTTGAAAGAGCTTAGAATAACATAGAAATAGTTGTATGTTATATTTGGGGATTGAATTATTAATTAACGCTAGCTTAACCATAAATTAAACTATTTATTTCTAGTTAATTTTCGTTACAAATGTAAACAAACTGAATAACTGTTGACAAATAAGGAATTTTAAACTTGAAAATCTAAATTACCAGCTCTCACCACAGTTATTCAATGACTAATCAGGAAATCCAGGTGTTCAGGTCTCGAACTAGAGTGTAATTATGAGGATTCTTAAGATAATATAGCTATTCGGGGCTACTAATCTGTTAGTACCTCTTCAAATGATTTTATTTAGCAATGCAATTTAATTTCAACTTTATATAAATTCAACAAAAGCAGCGGAACAAAATCACGAATTATTATATGTTATTATAATGATTATTTAGATTGACTACAACTTATTTTTACCATTAACCTTAGGATTGTGCTTGATCTACTCATATACTTTGATACCAACGTTTTTCTTTCTATATTTCTAAATCAAAATAAAAGATATTTAATAGTGCTGGAGATGGTCCTGAATCAAGCTTCACAGAACAAACAACATTTAAAACAGCTCCACGTGAATTTCCCACTATGGTTACTTTAAATGCAACGGGTATACCAAATACTATTCGTGTTTCATGGGTGGGAATTCAAGCTAGACCAAATGAAGAATCAGTGGAAGGCTACTGTATTCGTTATTGGCCAACTGGCTCTCAATTCAAACGAACTTTCAAAGATATTAATGTTGGACTCCAAACGTTTGGTTACGTTAGTGATTTAAAAACTGATGTAAGATATAATTTACGCGTATATGGTTATAGTCGTGGAGGTGTTGGTACTATGAGTTCACCAGTAAACCAATTTCAAATCATTACTAAAGAAAAATGCATTCCTGGAGCAACTTGGGGTAAGAGTGAAACTGAATTATTCTAAAAAAACATGATTTAGTTAATTCATTAGATATCAGAGTGGTTTGTGATGTAATGGATGTTTTGAAATATATATATATTTCTCTCTCTCAGTTATATTACGTTAATAAAATAATGAGACAAATCATGTTTTATCAGATCCAGAATTCACGACCCAGATTAACACAAGATAACACTTTATTCAACACAGTTACAAGCAGTCACATTCATTGAGTCCGAAATAGAAATCAATGCGAGTAAAGGAAATCATATATTTAATAATCAGTAGGCTATGCTTGTATGTCCACGTTCAGTGATCAATCATATTTTATTTTCATTGGTATGGATAAATTCATTAGTTTTGTTCTACCTATAAGCTGAGGTTTAAAGACAATGCAAATATTTATCGATAAGCATTGATCACTACCAAAAACTGGTGCGTTACATTGATTAACGTTTGATCATAGGTCTGTACTAAACGAAAATTTTCAGTTTTTATTTTCTGACAAAGTCCTCAGACTAAGAAACTGATGAAAAAGTTCAAATACCTTAGGAATAGTAAATTATCTCCATTTTAGGTATATGTTTTTACCATTCACTCAAGAAAATAATTTTACGTTCAGAATCACTACTGGAATTTGTTAAGGTTTTTGCATCAGACTGTTTAAAAATCCCTAACTTAACGGAGGTTTCATAGAATAAATACTTTTTCAGGAGGGTTTTTTGTGGAGATTTAGTATTTTTATAGTTGAAAGCATGAGTCAGTTGGAGCTAGACCACCAAGGAAAACCCGGAAGCTCTGAAAGGCCTTATCGTCCTATTGTGGGACTCCTCAGCAGTACGCACCCACGAGATCGCCTCGCAAGATTCGAACCCGGGACCTGCTATTTACGCGCCAGAGCACTTAACCGATAGACCACTGAGCCGGCATCCGATTGTGTTTATGTCATGCTTTCAACTATAAATACCTTTTGTTATCTTCTTGAACGGTTAGCCTAGTATGATATATTATTCCATGAAAAAAACAGAGGTAACCGTCTCTCTATGCTACAATTAAGATATGATAGCAATTTATCTAACTAGATACATGAAATTTATTTTAAGTAGATTATAATATGTACAATAAATATTCATAGAGTTAATTAGCTTAGCTACCACTACACATAAGAAATATTCACTTATGGGCTTCAGGTAACACATGCTCTTTTAATCTTATGTGATAAACTTGAAAGTTCTTACGAAGAGATTGGTGACCATGAATCCATTATCATTGTATTAACTTTCTTCACACTATTAAAACATTTGATAACATGGGTCGAAATGAATAATGACTAATTTCTCGAGATCCTTTTTGTCAAACCCAAAACTACTATAAACAACCTTATATATATATATATATATATAACTTTACAAATCTTCAGCCGTCTGCCGAAATAAGTCTATTGTTCACAATGAAAGATAGTTTGGTACACCTCATAAATCTGACCACATATGTATGATGACTGACTTTAATCCTATTAATCTTGTTCTGAATTACCAGTTTTAATTTGTTTTAATGAATTTGTTTATTTAGTAAAACCAAATAGATAATTATCTGTTTGATTATCTGCATTTCTATTTTGTAGATGGTCCCGATTTTCGGTATAATTTCATATGTAAAGGTCATCCTATTCGAATATCATCAACCGTTACAATATTGCTCATAATTTTATGCATAATCTTTAAATACTGTTTATAGTACTCCTTTCTTCCAGTGTAAAGTTTATTATATATATATATATATCTTTACAGATAGGTAATCAAACAATAAAATAATGTGTCACTTTTATATGGATAAATAATTTTATATACTTGGATACTTTATATAATAAAAAAGAGGTCAAAAACGGCTTGTCCGTTTAATGTGAAAAAAGTAATGATTCCACATTTATTTCCATGACACATTTGTGGCAGTGTTTTTAGGGAGTTTTATGAAATAAGACAACAATGGATTGAGATATTTCAGGTGTTATCTTCTCTTATATTGACACAATAAAATAAAAAATGCTCTCTACAAGAATAAATTTTAAGAGTGCGTTATATAATAGCATCCCTGATGCAGTCACCCTACGTTTTCAAATAAAGTTTCGGAAAGTATTTTAGAGAAATGTAATATGAATAATATCTGATTGTGTGTTATTTCCTTTAGCAATGGCAGATGTAATTTCTTGTTTTATGTACTTTCTCGTTGTAAGAAAGGACTTTTGTGGTGATATAAATTGTGATTTTTTTTGAATTCTCCTATGTTTCTTCGTTGATATACTTCGGTGTTTGTTGGGCTGTAATATCAGTGGCTGCAAGATTTGATCCGTCCTCTTCAATGCTGTTTGTTTGTCAGAGTTGTTAGTATGTAGCTATCAAAATAAAGTTTACCTCTAAGTCGTCCCAATATTGATGCGAATGATATTTCTCCTCAGTTCCTTCGTTTGCGACTAAGTTTTAAAATGTGCATCAGTTGTTGAACAATATGAAAAATTGGAGATATGAACAAACTAAAAAAAAAGCAGCATTGTTTTAAGTGGCGTATGTATTATCACATGGGCAACTCGAATCATGAGATGTTTACCTTAGCCCAACTTACTATACCGCTGAATAACTATTCATTTAGCTATGGGTTTACACTATAAAAGATTATCTTTCAATAATGATATGTATAGGCTTTGTGGTGAAAGAATATGATTTTAGTTCTGCTTAAGAAGTGTTTGTCAATGAATAGCGGTATCAATGAAGTCCGTACAAAAAGCGTATGTTCCAAAAAAGACTGGTCAGTTTTGTTACAAAAAATCAATGGGAGGATTCAAGAAACCAGGATAAATGAATTAAATCTGACACGTTATGCAAGCGGCTTGTTATTTGGATTTTTCGTGTCAATAAATACCACTCATTTTATTTATACAAGAAACGAGAATCGTGATTGAATGAGTTTTTATTCAGATTATGGGACAGAAGTGTTGGGGCGCGAAGTTTTCTCTTTCAAACACACAAGGTTTTCGACATTCGATATATTATTTTTACTGCTATTATTACTAATGGACTCATGGTAAAGTGCTTAATATGTTAAGGAATTGAAGTGAAAGATACTAAGTTCTATTCACGGTATGACTATCAATATTAAAGAACTTAGATAGTGCTGATCAATCCCAAATAGGATGAAATGTGCGTCTCCGATTTTACTACTAGCTACTATTCCACTGTTTAAAAATTTTCAGCAAGACAAACTGAGTGCATTAATCTGAAGTTAACTATGTTATGAATGCAACTCGGTATTAAACTGTCTATATACTTAGTGTGAATATCATTTCCTAAACTGGTTTATGGATATATTTGATTTACTCAAAGTCGAACTTATTTGGTAATAATTTTGACTTTGGATTTCGTCCGAATTCAGTTTGATAATTTCCACTTTGCTCTATTAACTTAAAAATTGGCGGTTTACTGCAAACTGTTTATCATAATCATTGTTAGAACAATATATTTTAGGACCTGGGCGAAATTAAACGTAACAATAAGCTTATCGATATTATGAATATCCAAGTTATTCGTAACTGGATTTCCATCGTTGCCTTATTCCGAAATGAGTAGCTAATAGATTCTCAGGGTAAAAATGTCCACAAATATCCGTACATTCATTATCTTGTTCTCTTCGCCGAGGCGATTTTTAATAATCAAGGGGGCCAAAGCCCATTTTGTGAACAACGAAAATATTCCTTCTTGTCTGCCTTTACGATAAAATTACAGAAACTGTTCAATGGAAGTATAAGTTTAGGTCATTTAGATGAAAACGTCTAATGTATAGTCATTGCATTCCTAGCGTAGTGAAATGGGTTTATGCACCTGCAGATATGTAAACTTCAGTTCAGGAAGGATAAGAGAGTGTTAATCTAGCGAAAAAAACAATAAATTTAAGATAAACGACACTACATGGATCAAAATATACTGTGGGAACCGATCAGTAAGTGATAAAAAGTCAGTTGAATGAATCGCTTTTAGCGTCGGTGTAGATATAAAACATCGTCATCAACATACGTTATTTAGTTTTCGCGAATTGCATGTTGAGATTTGTGATGAAAAAAGCTTTGCAAACAGTTTTAGTGATTAAATCACTATGTATCGTAAAAAATTTCGATTTCGTCGGTTTTCCATGTGACTAATTACAATCATGGTTTCACAGATGTTGTTTTCAAACTAATTGTGTTTATTACTGATGAATAACCGTTTATGTCAACTGTGATATGCACTGTTGTCCGGCTGAAACAAGGTAATTGGGTAAATTACGGTACTTAATTTCATTATAGATTTAGATGTACATTTTTACCTAAATAAATATAGGAGGAACAAGAAGGTAGCAATCAATATCAGCCGAACAAGTTCAGAAAAATTCAAGGCACAAGCCGAATACACAGAAGTAAACAAGCAAGTGAATAGGAGCATCAGAACCGACAAACATAAATATGTGTAAGATTTAGCGATGACAGCGGAAAAGGCTGCAAGAGAGGGAAACATGAGACAATTGTATGATACAACAAAGAAACTTGCTGGAAATTACCGTGAACTAGAACGACCAGTGAAAAGCAAACAAGGCAAGGCAATCGCCAACATTGAAGAACAACGGAACAGGTGGATAGGACACTTCAAAGAACGCTTGAATCGACCAGCCTCATTGAACCCACCTAGCCTCGAATTAGCACCCACGAACCTCCCAATCGATGTTGGCCCACCAACAATTGTAGAGATCAGCATGGCCATCAGAAAAATCAAGAGCGGCAAAGCTGCAAGATAGAACAACATTCCGACAACTAAAGGGGCATCACTCTTCTCTCAATACCACGGAAATGTCTTCAATAGGGTGTTGTTAAACAGAATGAGGGACTGTGTAGATGCACAACTTCGAGATCAACAAGCTGGATTCCGTAAGGATAGATCGTGTATAGACCAGATCGCAACTCTACGGATCATTGTGGAACAATCAAGTGAATGGAATTCGTCACTCTACATCAACTTCATTGACTACGAGAAGCCATGTGGTGGCATGAACAGGACAACACTTTGGAGGCTTCTTCGACATTACAGCGTGCCTGAGAAGATAGTCAACATCATACGGAGTTCCTATGATTGATTATACTGCAAAATCGTCCACGGTGGACAACTCACCGACTCGTTTGAGGTAAAGACCAGTGTTATGCAAGGGTGCTTACTCTCACCCTTTCTTTTTCTCCTGGTGATTGACTGGATCATGAAGACGTCAACCTCTGGAGGAATGCACGGGATACAGTGGACAGCTAGGATGCAGCCGGACGATTTAGACTTTGCAGATGATCTGGCTCTTCTATCACAAACGCAACAACAAATGCAGGAGAAGACGACCAGTGTAGCAGCAGCCTCATCAGCAGTAGGTCTCAATATAAACAAAGAGAAAAGCAGGACCCTCTGATTTAATACAGCATGCATCAATCAAATTACGCTTGAAGGAGAGGCTTTGGAGGATGTAAAAATCTTCACATATCCAGACAGCATCATCGATGAACACGGTGGATCTGTTGCAGATGTGAAGACGCGGATCGGCAAAGCAAGAGCTACATATTTACAAATGAAGAATATCTGGAACTCGAAACAACTGTCTGTCAACTAACACCAAGATCAGATTTCAATATAAATGTGAAGACAGTTCTACCGTATGGGGCGGAGTTATGGAGAACTAAGAAATCCATCATCCAGAAGATTCAGGTGTTCATTAACATTTTTCTACGCAAGATACTTGGGATCCGTTGGCCAGACACTATCAGCAACAACTCACTGTGGGAGTAATCAAACCGGATTCCATCCGGCGGAGGAAGGAATCAGGAAGAAGCGGTGGAAGTGGATAGGACACACATAGAGGCAATCACCCAACTGCGTCACAAGGTAAGCCATCACACGGAATGCCGAAGAACAAAGAAGAAGAGGAAGATCAAAGAACCAATAACTCAAGGAAATGGAGACAGACATGAGAAGAATGAACAAAAATTAGATAGGAGTATTAAGGAAGGCCCAGAACAGAGTGGATTGGAGAATGCTGGTCGGCGGCCTATTCTCCGTTGGGAGTAACAAGCGTAAGTAAATAAGTAACATAAATAGTAACTTTTCAATCAGTAACCAGGTATATATTGCACCATATAGACAAATTGATAAAGGAGATAAGGGAATAACCATGTGAAACAAAAGTATGTCATTATATCCTTTCTTAATAGATTACGTGCAAATTGTTCAAAAGTTAACGTCTAAATTCGTTATTACACCGAGTGCTTTCAATTCATTGTCAAAAATGCACCATTTCAGTTGTAGGGGAAGTGAAATATCACTGAGTTTCAGACAAATAATCTGGCAGTTGGGTCACTGAATAAAGATTAGATCATTGATCCCTGTCAAAATCAAGGGCAACAAAGGCGCATCAGTTAGTCGTAAACGATGAACTTGCGCATGCGGTGGTGGTCTCGCAATCTTCTTTGTACTCATCCTTACCAATATATTTCCATAATAACATCCTTTGTTTTATACGGTCTTCGAAGTCGTCATAGTACTTTAATGCGTCGAAGAGGTAACCCACGTTAGATGCTGACGGAGAGGTGTGACTTTGAAGTTAGCTGGTTCGTTACACCGTTCTCATCTAACGCAAGTAGGCCTCAATCATTCGACAGAGATCATTAAGGTTGATAGCCTAGAGAGTCATAGCGAGCGACGCAATTAAAACGGGACGGGATCAATACTGGCAGCCACCATTATTGAGTATAGACTAAAATAAAATAGATGTGGTTCGGGAATTACATGGAAATTCAGAGAAAAGAGAAGGAAAAAGAAAAACTACAGTATAACAAAAATAGTACCATCCCAAATGAAAACAGAAATCCTAAAATTGTGCACTTGGAGGAACCAAGATGAATAAGCCCCAACAGTGTGTGCTTAGAAGGATTTTCAACAAAACGGTCTTACAGCAGGCTTATCGTGCTGGAAAAGCACAGAATTGGAGTTCAGTTGAATGGCTTATCCCAGTTGTGTTGAGTCAACATATGAACAACACTTTCCTAATATTTTGAGCAGCTATGGAAAATATTCCCTGAATCTGAGTTTCATTATTCGGTTCTTCACCACATTCGGGTTTTGCAATCATAATTTATCCGGTTTCTCTTTCATTGCCTTCGAGGTGAGTAAAAGACTGTGATAGTATTACGAAAAGCATGGAATATCGCTTTATAGTTGGCCTTCATTGACCTTTCATTGTGTAAGAGTCTTGATTTTATATCTTTACATAAATGCATAATGTTTACTTCGGACTTTCTAAAGTTTGGTCGACTTGAATATTCCGCGTGCTACAGGCTTCCAGTGTCAACATGGGTGAAACTAACTGTTTGAAGATTAATTAGTTAGTGGCAATATATTCTTCTAATTAGGACCGACTAATTGAGAGGAATTAAGCTTTACAGTCAGTAATAGGCCTTAATTAGATTGCTTCTTTTCCTTAGAAAGCCCAATAAGAACAGCTATATTACATTTAAGCGTTCTCCATTCCCTTAATATTTTTCTTGGAAAGTATATATAATTGTTATGAGACGCTCTTTCATAAAAATGAAGATTGAAAACAACTTCGAATCAACGTCATTATTCATAATTAATTACATTTTGTGTCATGTATACATCGTTCGTAATTTTGTCAATTAATGTTCTTAAGATTTTGTTTTTTCGAATCCCAACCATCAATTTATTTTTGACGCACATGTTAAGAACAAACTGCGACCTTGAGTTCGGTGTTTTTGTCATATTATTAAGTAAATGACTTTGGATAAAGAAGATAATTTTCAATATGGTTCTCATGCGATTGAGCGTCGAGGGGCGTTGCGTCAGAAGAATGTCATTGAGGTCAATGGTCATAAATTTGTTGCTAAGTTTTTCAAGCAATTTACATTTTGCGGCCATTGCAAGGACTTTATATGGTAACAGCTTTTTGTCTCATATAATTTTTTAGGGGTCTTGGAAAACAAGGAGTCCAGTGTCAAATATGCTGCTTTGCTGCTCATAAGAGATGCTATCAATATGTAGCATTTAAGTGTCCTGGTGCTGATTTGGGTCCTGAATGTGATGTAATTATCTACTGTTTTTGTCTTATTATTTCAGTCTAAAAGGCGTCATAAATTCAAACTGCATACTTACTCGAGTCCCACATTTTGTGACCACTGTGGTTCACTTCTATATGGGCTTGTTCAGCAAGGTTTGAAATGTCAAAGTTTGTTGTTTTTTGTTTGTAATGCTTCAACCAGACTGTGGCATGAATGTACACAAGAGATGTGAAATGAATGTTCCTCACCTCTGTGGCGTAGACAACACAGAGAGAAGAGGACGAATATATCTCAAGATTAGCTGGCAAGATAACAGATTTTTAGTTGAAGGTAAGTTTATGTTTCAATTTGTAGCGTATGTTGTCAACTGTTTTACAAAGGCAAATATGTACGTAGCTAGGTTGTTTTCATGTTTATATGAATTTAGAAAACCCTTTTTGTATTTATCGACCCTATTATTATTTTTGTTTCATAAGATCCTAGCAACAAGTTTTGATAACTTAGACTGTCCGACCTACTAACGTGTTTCACTCCGAAACTAAAAAAATCACAAGTGTTAGAATTTTGTTTTCTTTGCTTGTGGACAAAATGGAAAAAAACTTCTGTTTAACTGACTTCTGTATCTAGTAGTAATGGGTTTCCGACGTCTCCATATAGGAACCTAGGTATGTTTATCGATAAAAAGATTATTTGAAAGGTCCTACCGCTGCACTAGCCGAATATAAGCTTTAATTTCGCCATAGCAAGGTTTCACTGGAAACGGAGTTTTTGTCTTACGCGGCATAAGACTTTAGATCATAGGGTAGTTGAACTCTTAGGTTCTTTCTAACTTGAGATGCCTCTAGAGGGGAGTTACTAAGTTGTATATGTAGGTCGCCTCAACTAATTAGTTGACCTGAGATGTTGCCACCGATAAATCTCTCAAGCTATCAGCTTTTCGTCTCTGTATACTATGTGTAACCGGCTGTACATTTTCGTAAATACTAGCAGTAACACTGATTTTCAGATAGTATATGTAGTTGGAGGCTGAACACATAAACCTGTAATTTTTTTAGGGTTGCATCAACATGTCAGTCTAGTGACAAAGTTTATTATACCTTGGTTTTTGCAGCCCGAGTAATATTATTAGCCATGACAAAGTGTTTCACAAGCAAGTGCGCTAAAATTATTTCTATTAAGGTTCACTAAGAATCCTCAAATCAAGTCGCTTTGGCTTGTGGTAAATTGCGTCAAATTGTTTCATACCAAGTTACATCAAAGGCAAATAGTTTTTAAATGAAGAATTAAAATGTGAAGTTCTGCCTCTTTTCCGGTGTTTTATTCTTTTCCCATCTGTTATCAAAATTCATGTTCACTTATACTATCTTGTTTACTCGGAAGCGCGTTTTAAGGTCTATATGTTCTTACTAAGTGTAGCGAGTAATCGAGTGATATTTAATAGTCTATACCAACGGTCTCTAGTTATTAATACCCATGGTCACCTAATTAAGGCATTTTATGATTTGTTTGCTGTCTATCCATTTGTATTTTGTTAGCCTTTGTCTAAAGATCAGGGTTATCCTAATTTTTTGATCTTTTATGTACCTCACTGAATTTTAACGCTTTTAATGTTGTTTGTAGTGATAAGATTTATTCTAACTAGTTGAAATTCGTATTTTTGGCTGTATTAATTATCCGTAGATTGGTTAATTAATACTATATATTTTATCTTATAATAAGTGGTTACTTATTAGAGTCAAATTTATATAATGCGCTGTTTCAGGTTCTTGACTTAAACGAGAGTAATTGTTGTCTTTAAGTTTTTCAGTTAGAGGAAGTGAACTAAAGGTTCATCGCCCTGGTTTCACTCTAATAATCCCTGATTATCGCCAGAATTCATGCAGCTGAGTAACTTCACATGAAAGTAAACCTAGAAACAATGCATATTCTAGCATTATAGAGTTTTGATAGAGGTTGCCGAATTTCGCATCTGTGAAGCAGGAAAGTTGACTAATACATAGTTTATTTAATATTTGTGTTAGATTTAGAGAAGTGAGCAAGCAGGTTAAATGATAAAATAATAATCATTTATACTTCCAAAATGTAAGAATGTCATTTTGTGTCAAAAATTTTGGTTTTCACTTTTTACTAGAGTTTGTTTTAAATAAGACACTGATTGATATTCCATTTAGCCTTCCGTGTGCTTTCATGTATCTGAGAGTCAGGTTGCGACAGATCTTACCCGTGCCCTGACTATACCTGTAACTTCCTATCTGAATGTGGCATTTAGGACTCTATTGTGGTCATCAATTTAAACTCACTCTTTAGTCATCTGAGGATTCGTTAGCAGTTTGTCATTTTCTTACCGATTCATACATACCATTAGTTTAGAAAACAAAATAAGTACTCCTGAACTGAATTCTTGCTGTTAACTACCTATTCTTGACTCAAGTGGACAATACAATAAGAATTTGGAGGGAACGGTACATTTCATTGTTTCCTCAAAGTAATTTCCGACTGAATGCATCCTGGATAAGATATGGAAAGAGTTCCGCCATAATCTTTGGGAAATCCTTATTGGATAACTGTTACAATAAGACTCACCACTCATAACCATTTTACTAGCTGAATTCATTCGCGACTGACTAACGAATTCCACTTTATCTTGACTTAGCATCACTTTACTAGTTTTGTCAATTCACTTTTTTCATCCTGTCAACTTTTTTTAGTTAAAGAAGGCAGAAATCTTATTCCAATGGACCCAAATGGTCTTGCTGATCCTTATGTTAAAATCAAATTTGGACCAACTGACGAACTTGGACGCAAATTCAGAACCAAAACAATAAAGTCTAATCTAAACCCTGTATGGGATGAAAAGTTTACCATGTAAGTTGTAGATCATTTTGCTTTCTCCATGGAAAGTTAGGTTTTTGCTTCATATATAATTAAATTTCTTAGTGTTATGTTTCTTATAGGTGCTGAAACAATTCTCTATTTTTCGTGTGTTCTCTATTTTAACTTGTTTAAATTTCAAATAAGCAGACGCACGAATTTACGCTTTATTAATTACTTATATTTATTTAACCGGGACTTGGCCAGATAGTCATCAAAAGGCTGACTCGTTTAATCATGATATATATATCTCGTATTCGATAAATCTTTAATTTTTAAAAGCTTATTTTATAAATTCCTCATGGTTTATTGTTGGGTTGTTTAAAACATAGTGATCTACATCCAGATGATGAGTCAAAGAGACTGCATTTTGAAGTTTGGGACTGGGATCGTACATCACGTGACGATTTCATGGGTGCTTTATCATTTGGAGTTACAGAATTAGTTAAAAAGCCGATTGACTGTTGGTTTAAACTACTAAGTCAAGAAGAAGGTGAATACTACTCGATTCCTTGTACGACAGAAAGTAATACTCCACCATATGCAGAAATATCTTCCGAATATGAGGTATGCCCTATGATTATTTAGTTTGTATATATATTATATTGGTTTAATACTAAGTATTGGGTAAGTCCGCTGATGTCACAAATAAGTAGAAATGACTACCAGTGGCGAACTCAAAATTCTAATTCAACGAGTCGATATTTATTTCATTTGAAATCCGAGAAACTGTCGTGGGTGCCTAAAAAATTACTAAAATCCATGACTATGAATATAAATGGAATAATTGTGACGATTAGTATCAGCTTTTAACTGTGACAATACTAATTCAGGAATCTATCTAATGCACAATCAGAGTTTTTAAGGAATCTAAAATGATCTGTTGTCACTAGTCAAATCGGACAATTAAAATAAAACTATCTGCAGTAGAACGATACAACAGTAAAATGTTAGAGCCATCAATCATAAATCAATTTACAAGTACAATAAAGCAATCAAATATTTATGAATAATTTTGATGATTAATGCTGACATAGGGATTTATTATTATTATTATTATTATTATTATTATTATTATTATTAGCGGAAATCGAAAAATGATGAAATAATGAACAGGCTCATTAACAATGTTAATCAGGAGCTTAAATAAATATCCTTATACTCTTATGATTAGAGGATATTTTGTCTAGCTGTAAATCTATACATATTATCGATGAACTTGAATTGTATCTGCTTGTTAATAGAACTAGGGTACGTGTATAATTTCCCCAGTAGATAGTACTATTTTGTTGTAGTTGCTACCACTAACTAGTCTTACAACCGGATATCAACATGGGCAACATAGCTTCAGAACTTTATATTAATTTGATGGTAAGTTATAAAATTGAAATTTAAACCATCTCAAACTAATGTTTATATGTCATAATTTGGATTATCGATTTGGCTATCATTATATATTACCAAAGGATGCTATTATTAAAGAATATATTGATTATTGATCCATGTAGTCTTTTTCTTTGAATACTGAAGCCAGTGAATAGTAACCGAATTGTTTAACCTGTAAGAAAATAGGAAAATGTACAACTGAGTTGTTGTTCGATGTTGTATTTAAACAACTACAGTAAAACAAACTTCAAAGAACTAAGCTATAGAATAAATAAACCAAATTAATGTCGTATAGCCTAACTGGGTAAAGCTGACCAATAATAAAAGTCTGTGATAAATTTCTAGATCATGAACACACACACGTACAAATTCAGAGTTCATAGTTCAAAAGCTGATATTAATAACATATGATAGTCAGTAATCTGTCACACAAAAACCAAGCATACATGATTTCATCCCAGTGACTCGGTAGGTGCCGTCCTTGATCCGAGACTTAAAAAATCATGAGATTGATTTCGTGTTCTTTTGTGGATGATCACTGCTAAGCCTTCTTTAAAATAAAACGACTATCGAATACCTGGTTTTTAAATGGTTTTCAAAATAATGTTTATTTATGGTTAGGATTCCGTTTATAAGTTGAAAATTTCACCATACATTACTTCCTGATTATGTGAAACAGTTTCTTATGTCAAGTGATTTAAACTTCATAGCATTAAAACAAAGAAGTGATACAGTATCTAATAATTGCTTTTTCTTAATAAACACAAGAAAATTGATTTACGAATTGAGAATTTCGAAATTCGAAGGGGTAATAATAGTACCAATATTGCAATATACAAACTCTCTTGGTTCCGCATACTTCTTAGATTTCTACCAGAAACCCGGAAAATTCATTTCAAAGCTTAGTCATATCAGTGAACACGCGATCTTTTTAAAATTGTTTTCATTGTATATAAGATGACTTTACAGAGTTTTGCCAAAAAGTTATTTCAAAAGTAATTTTCATCACAGAATGAAATTACCTAAAGAAGAACTCATATTGTGGTCAAGATAGAATCTGTAGTCCTGAGGTTTGGTCTTTTTTGGAGATACTTTTTCACTGTACAACATCTTAGCTAACATAAATGATCAACTAGTTATCAGGCGTTTGACATACTTATTATCTTGATTTTATTTACCAATTTATGCATTTGTCAGTCAGTCAAACCATCATGATACCTGGTACATCGGCATAGCGAAATGAATGCTGAGTTTTATAGGTAGCAATAGTATTAATGTTAATCAAAATAACTATAGATGGGGTATATGTTTCAAGAACAGAAAATTAATCCTCAGAAGAGAAGATGTAACATAAATCAAATGAAAGCTGAAGAATAATTGAATCTGTTCCACTGAAACCGATTTTGCACAATGTCACTATGTTTTCAATTATTGGTCACGTTAATTGTAGAGATCCCTGTTTATATCCATTAAAGTCTTTCGAATTTACTGAAGTATAAATAGCTTTTATCGTCATTTCTTAAAGGTAATTGTCAAGTTCACCCATGTTAACAAAATAAATCGACTAAGTCTTTATAATCATACATGTTAACATGGATAAGTTCAATAGTGAAAAAAAGTAGTTGTTTATAGAATTAGTTTCTTCCATGTTTTTATTCGCTAACTTTATTTAGTTTGGTCATTTTTATACAAAGGAAAATTGTCCTAGTATAGTTTAAATGGACTTAATTCGCTGTAGGGTAAACAAAGAAACGTACTCCCATTTATTTCAACAAATAGGTAAAAGGATGTTTTTATTTTAAGAAAACAAAACAATGAACTCATGTCGTTGTTGTTTCAATGCTATAAACATTTACAAAGAGAATATAATGTAACAATTTTTTGAAAACTGATACACTTTGACAAACATATGTCTAGTAGTTCTATATTTGATAGTTTCATACATAAATGTGATCATTAAGTTGAACAGACTTTTATTGACCACCAACTTATAACGTAGATAATGATGATACTGTATCATCGGGCTATGCTTCATCTATTTGTTGAATAAACATGTTTCATAATGTTATTTTGTCTCTTCTTTGTACTTTAAAACTAAATGTATTGAATCTAGTTGGCAAGTTGTTAATGTTTCATTTGAATATACTTAGTTAAAATATTGATTCCCAACTTATATCATCCAATTATTTTAACTCAGTATCTAAAACAAAATATCATGCTTACCTAATTGACTAAAGATTTCGGCGTTGAATTCTGTTTGAGTTATGTGTGAGCAGTTATTTCCACTGATTCTAAACTGAAATAGCTTAAAAGTTTAAATATTAGGCTTTCAAGTATGTAATTCCTTTTTCTTTAAATTGTACTCGATCTATCTTAGTTTGTGTAGAGAGTTTAGTATCGTAAATTTATGACCCAAAATCAGAGATATGAATCTAATCTTAGTTACTGTGTTACATGCGTCTTTATAATGTAGAAAAATTCATTTGAAATTTAAATAAAACCCCTTATGTAATATTGCATAACTAAATATTTGGATATTAAAATGTTGAATTCGCGTATTCAGATTATTGAAATATTTTACTTTCAATTGTATACAAATCCCCATCATATCAAAAGACTAATATATGGACGAAGAATATTCTTTTCAATAAATAAGAGAGACTAATCAATTGGAGTCTTAAACGTTGATGGGAAGATTCAAATGACTAATGCAAAAATAAACTTTACCCCGTTGCACAAGCTAGTGGCTAACTGAACTTAGTAGCCAAGTAGATAACACGATGGTGTTAAAGAAAATGTGGAACTCAAAACAACTGTCAACCAACATCAAAGCCAGAATCTTCAATACAGACGTCAAGACAGTCTTGTTGTACGGAGATAAAACTTCGAGAACTACTACAACCATCATCAAAAATGCACAAATATTTCTAAGGAATTTTCTACACAAGATACTCAATGTCCATTGTTGACCAGATACCATCAGCAGCAGCCTATTATGGAAAGAACAAACCAACTTCCGACTGAAGAGGAAATAAAGAAAAGACGCTGTAAATGGATTGGATATACATTGAGGAAATCATCAAACGGTGTCACAAGGCAAGCGGTAACTTGAAATCCTGGAGACAAACGGGAAATAGGGAAACCAAAGAACACACTGCTCTGGAAATTGGGAGCAGATGTCAGAAAGATGAATATAAACCGGAAAGGTTTGTTCAGGACTGAGTTGGATGGAGAATACTGGTGGGCGGCCTATATTCCTCCACAAGGCGTAACAAGTGTAAGTAAGTAAGTAAGCAAAATGAACAGCTTCATATAAGCCCATTTAGTGCAAGGTTGTCATAGTGTTAGTATAAGCCAATATTTTTCGATTAGTTATGGAGGATTTATTTTTTTCCAAAGTCTGTCAGGTTTGTAGTACTTCAGACGGCGGAAGCAGTATCCATTTGAATTAAAAAGATGGAGCTGTGTGTTAAAAGATCTTCAACCGCTTTTCCTGCCTTGACCAACCTCAGTGCTGATTAATCAATGGTAATCGTAGCTATTGAATGACCTGATTTTACTAGTGTACTTACAGCCTTTAATGGTAAAATGTAATTGTCTCTGATCACTTAACGTATAGGCTGATTGGAGTTAACATAGTAAATGAGTCATCTTCAGATTAACAATTTCGTTTTACTTTCCTCTAAAATGTTTTCATTATAAACAGTTGAATATGAGAACATATATGTTCCACAACATTTTGATCCCATTATTTGTACACTCTATAAACTTTGTATTCATTGATTTCACTTCATTCGTTCCATTTCTCGTGTTCCAGAGGTTTATTTGAACTATCACATAGTTAGCTTATTATTTGTGCTAGTGCATTTAGAGTTTGATTTCAATTGACTATTTTCTGCATACTTAAAAATTAATAATGCTCTGTTTCTCTTTGGAATAAAAAACTAAACATTTGGTTGAAAAGGATTTTGTGGAGATCGGTTTAATTTGTAGTTTATATTCGTTACAGATTGACCTCAGTTAGGATACAATTACAACTTAGCGAATAATAGACAAGTGTCTCGTCCTAGTATAGTACGTCTGGGCGGTACTCGCTCGCGATCCTACTAGATGTTGTCCCTAGGACCTTAACGTCCGGTGAAGAAGGGTTAACCATGTGAACTACTAGGTCATTGCTCGAT